GCCTTAAAAACAATGGCGAATGATTCGGTTTTTGTGTTGTTGAATTGTTATTTGCATTCTCATTTTAATAAACTAATCACACAGTACAACCACAGATTAAATAAAACCAGATGGTATCTGTAACTAAATATATGTCTGTTTTCGGAATCCAAAACCCAGCAACGTCTATATTATGCTTAATATACTAATAAACCTGGTTTAATATTGTTCTATAATATAACCTATAAGATATAAGGTACTCCAAATTAGGTACTCTAGTGGTTGTAAGTGATTATATATTAGAGATAAAAGACTAGGTACACCTAATTTACTTATAAGGATATAAGGGTAAAGGGATAGTCAAATGAATCTGTTAGGTAGGCACTTACGCATACTTAGCGAACCACGAAAAATTATTTATGAAAAATGTTAAATATTGATAAATATAGTCAGTAAATCGAATAAGGCTATATATTAATATTATAAAACTACTAAAAAACATTCGTATATAAATTATCAGGCAATATCCAGGTATTAATGTATTTGTATGAAGTGTGGATACTCTTAACTTTTTTCCTATAATGCGCCATTTAGTATTAGATAGTTAAGAAAAAGTTTTCCATCTAAAGTTATATAAAAAAAATAACAATGTCATAATGGCATGAAAAATAATAATACAATAATATCACACACGATATTTTTATGTCCCAATATGCGTATTGGCTATTATAAACAAAATATAAAACTTGTTATTGCCGAGTATTCACAAATAACAGTTTATTTGATTATATTATTTACTTTGCATACAAATAAAAACTCAAGACTTACCGTGGTAAGTATGTACCATTGTGTACGGTAAAACGTTAAAAATATATACACAGGGTGTTAAAAAATCCTGTGATCGTCTTGCGTGTTCGAAACTATGAATTTATCGTTAGGCATAGAATTTTTTAGTTTCAATTTCAATTATTTTCTTTGAGAGTCGTGGTCTACGGTTGAAGACGGTTAATTCGGGACACATCGTAAATTAGAGAACAGTTTTTTTTTATGACTGATCAAAATTTGAATACCACCCTACGTGAGAAATAAAAACGTGTCGCCATTGAACTGAAAGAATTTTTGTTTTTTTTTTCCACGGAGAAAAACAATTGTAATTGTAATCATGATTTGTTAAGTGTTTTGGGTATGATTTTAAATACTACTCACACTACAGAAACAAAAAAAAACAAATCATTGTAAAAGTTCTACCATTGATTATAAATAATACACATGATAATGAATATCAAATTTAACATATTTAATTTAAACAACTTTTTTATAAAAATGTCATTACTTGTATGTATTGTCATCTATTGTTTTTGTAGGTTTATTCTAGACTGTCGAACAACTATACGTTGGTGTGTTGAATGGCTCTTCTTCTTCATCTTTATCAATTTTAGTTTCCCGCACCGTTCGAGGTTCAATTATATTAATAATATAAATTAATAGTCAACAGAATGTCAAAAATCTCGAGAATCAACAGCCAAATTCGTACCTTCTGTAACGAAGACCATACGGCGAACTACAAGTAAAATCTATAAAAAATTCGTAACTATAAGAAAATCGAAAACCATTGAAGACCTTTATCGAAAAAAACCCAAAACAAACAGTGAACTTGTTACTCAATTCCCATTACTGATCTCACTCTCTACCGCGCATACACTAATTCAATCATCGTCATCACAGGCCCGTTCATATGCCCGCTTTAAAGCGTGTGGCGATATCTAATTTAAATATCTTAGAAAACAATTGAAATAATAATTTGGCCGCTAAAATGTTAGAGCAAACGGTAAGATGTTGTTGCAATAGCACGTTTTCTCACCCTGAATAACCTTTTGCATAACACTGAGAAAAACTAAAATCGCTCTAATTTAGTGAGCATAGAGAGGATCGACTTGAAACCGACATCAATCACTCAACTATTTTAAAACGATATATGTGGGCTTCACAAAAAACGAACGCGAATTATATTGAATATAATTAATATTGTGTATTTGGGTCATGCAATATAAGTATGTTATAAGTAATAAAAATAGTATAGCCTTATATTGTAGTATATGCGAACATTATAGAAATCATTATGTAATATTTAAAAGTTGTTTGATACAAGCACCAATTTCATTTATGACCTAGATTATATCACATATAAGCCATAGTATTAAGGTGTTGGATTATCACTCTATTACGGACACTGTTATAACTGTAACGTACGCTGTATATACTATTATTTAGATTTATACTGTGTGTTTTTGTGTTTAATAGTATTGTGTTCAATCATATTGTTGTGGTGTTTTATTTCTACTTAAATACTAACATCCACCAAGGTATACAAGCGTATATCGCAATAAATTACTTGCGCAAAATTACTCGACAACGGCGGAAATGGCTCTTTACCACAGTAGTAATGACAAACGAAACACCCAAAACATTGAAAAAAGCACACGTGTTATGTGCTTTTGAACCCAGGGAAACAGCCACAAAATAATGACGCAAACAACTTTTGACCAGTTTCACTGTTATGCCATAATATGTAGGATTAAAAAAATGGCCTACCTCAGTAGAAAGGTCTGGCTACAATTCTTCTTCTTATTGTTTACACATATGATTAACCAATAAGGAAAGAGACTGAACATTTTATCTATGCAAATGATTCAATAGTATCTATATTTGACAAGCTCCTATGACCGGACAAAACGTACTCGTCCGTGATGAAAAAAGAAAAACACACCTTTGTAAACATCAGTGCTGAGAAAATGTTTCAATAACACCAAACAAAACTACGATTTTACATTTTTCTAGTAAAAAGCCTTTATATATTACAGCATAAAATTTTTATCGCAGTGCGATAGAATATAATATCCAAGGTCATAACATAACATGGTTTGGCCAATACGGTTTTTTTTGCACTTGTGTCTATGCTACACCGAAGAAGTAGAAAATACTTGTTTTACTGTCTATTTATCGCCCGCTTACTACAGTACAGAAGTTATGAATATTTAGAATAGAAATGTGTCCACTTTTGACCTACATTGCGTTATTGTTTGATTAACAAAGCCGGTAACGACCGTCATTACCGTACGAAATCAATCGTAACCAGGTTACTTTTTACAACTAAATATTTTGCGTTATAGCATATTCGGTCGGCATTTAATTAACTGTTTACAAGTAAACAACGACGACTACAAGGCGATGTTCACGTTTGTTGTATTCCGTGAGTTCATACTGATTAAACCGAATGTACTGAACGATTCCGTTGCTCTGTCGACACGGTTGATGATGCTATATGTATTTTTTCGTAGTCCTATTCAAGAACTGGATATTTCGACGGACGATCCAAAGTTCGTTGAGTTCGGCCAAAGAGTTCGTAACATACAAAACGAGATGAAAGAAAGGTTTAAAGATATCATAGGCATCTAATTTATAACATTAACACCAATGGTAAATTGCAAAATGTAAAGAAAAAAACAGAAGATGAACTTTTTGTCCTTGCAGATAACGCCTTAAATACAAATTTATAGCTTTTGGGCATTCTTGGGTATTTTCAATCTACCATTTGACGTTAGCTTTTTATACTACGTGGCTCAACCGAAGTCACATTCCAAGTTAACAGACTTGATAGGTTATACGGATCGATTCAGAACGGATTTAGATTTGGATCGACTTGAAGAACTGAAAATAATGGTAAACGACATGAATCAATTATTTATTGAATTTACCACAGCCTTCTTGCAAGATCTCATAGTAAACGATTGACAAAAATGAATTTTTAGTGTTAACGAAAAAGTCTTAGGGACATTAGTATTTATAAGTAAAGCCTTAAAAGCAAACACTACTAAAACACTGTTACTTATGGAATTATGTGACATAGAATGAAATCCAGCTTGGCTAAATCCCATAAATTCCATGTATTATTTAATGTATTTCATTTAATTATATAGACGAATGTCCAATTTAAATACAATATAATAATAGCAGTAGTACCACAAATATATAAATAATAACTGAAACATAAAAAAAGAGAACATTATAAGAATATAAATGAATACAATATAGAAAATAGTTTTATATAAAAACAATAAAGGGAATATAAATCACATGAAGAGAAAATTTTTGGCTAATTTATCGACAAGAGATATTAAATTATATATTATTGGATGATTTAGCATATTGTAGTTCTGAGGTTAATGATGCATAATAAATAATTGGTTGTTCCGAACATTATGATTGTTTACTTTAAAGTTTATTAGGCTAAGAAGAAAAGAATCGTCAATTTCATTATTAAGAAACATAAAAAGAAGAGTTCAGCATGCAGCGACTATGTGAATTAAAGGATTCCATTATTAAGATACTAAGAATATATTCATACACAGAATGGAGGGTTTTATTTTGAATATAAAGCAAATACATTTAAGAACTTTATTTTGTATTTTCTCTATAATACGATATAATATTAAGAGTATAATATAAAGATTTTAAAAATTGTTTTTATATATGTAACAAAGTTTTAGCTGTCAATAATAAAGTTCTGAGTCTCTATAACTAAATCTAAATCTAAATAATAATGATTATTCAAAAATTCCTAAAATCTAGCAAGACTCGACAGAGACAAAACAAGAATAAACACAATTAAAAGTTTGCAAAAAGTCTTACATTTATTATTAATCATAAAACCAAACGAAATGTTTTATTTTAAGTGAATACAAGTAATATAACAGTAAAACATTTAATAACATAGATAGGTACTTGATAACTTCCAATCTTGGTAAGCGCAAAAATAACCAAAACAATAATTATACTTTGAGTGTGTTAAGTGACTTGAGCTCGAGCTGGTGCCTCCAAATACACACAGCGAAAACCCTACAGCAAAAAAGAGTTATAAAAAAGTTTTTAAAAAAAAATACATATATCAATTGTACTAACTTTGCCTACTGAATTGCGAAAGCCAGTAATACGAATGTACAGTATCGGCCTGGCATCAAAGTTCAACACCTGCCAAGATCGTGCCAGCTCCTCAGATTTGTCTTCAAGGATTTCCCAATATTCATTATCAACAGAGGCTTCAATTTTGTAACCGTAGGCTTGGTCATTGCCACCCCAAAGCAGCATCCTGGCAATTGTGGCAATAATAATATTGTCTTAGTTCAATATCTATATATATTTATAAAAATTCAGCTTGCAGAACTCAAAAAGAAGTCGGTGGATTTTGATGCGTTTTTTTTTATTATCATTTAAAAAATGTATTCCGGAAAGTTTTCATGGATTAAATTTTAATATTATAACGTTAAGGCAAAACTAAAGAGACATAAAATCATATAATAACTAGAGACATAAGTCTCTAGTTATTATAGTTTGGCCTTAACGTTGATTAATAATTCAAATTTCTTCCCCTATTTTACATCCTAAAGTGTGGAAGTTCTAACAATCCATTCTTAATGCATGCTTACATTATAAGACGACTATCCTTTAACGTGAGTTAGAAGCAATCAGTATGATAAAATATAAAATATATAATTAATGTGATAAAAAAAAAAATTAAAATCAATGTTCAATTAAAATCTCATTTAAAAAAAAAAAAAAAAAGTTGCTTATAAAAGTTTAAAACAAATTTTACAGTATGATGATGAATGATGATTAGGAATGATAAGAACAATAGCCTTCTAGTAACATCTTATGTTACTGATATTATCTTTTATAAGTTAAACTTAAAAAAACCAAAAAAAACTTGAATGTTGGGAGGGTATTTAACTTGAAATTCTTTTCACAGGCAACGCCTGAGGGAATGAGTGCAATCCTGAGAAATAAATTAGGATCTTCGAAAAGACATACAATTTAATTAAGTAAGATTCTAATAAAGAGATGTTTTGCACTAGTTGGAGACTTAGGCTCTGTAAAGGAAATAAGAAACACGTCTTGCAGAGTTTAAATGAACAATTTAAAGGGAAATTATTTATAGACAGTGTATGATTTATACGGTATATACGGTTGTACAAGGTGAAGCACTATAGAACTCGATCCTATCCAATGCCATGTGTATTCTTCAAACCTAGACGAGCTTTCACAGTAGTGATCTAATAGCGAGCAATCACTGACACTATTTGTACCTTTGATTACAGACGCATTCATACATCTTGAAGCGACATTATACATGTGCTTAGGAGCTTGATTAAAATAAGTAAATTAAACAAATATGTATTTATACATAAATAAGCATATTTTTGTATTAAAAAAATTAGTCACTCCGTTGGTTTTCTTACCGACTAATCCATTTACGATTTCCACCATGTGCATTTCGCGTTTATTGTAACTGACATCCCTAATTTTAAAAAGCACATAGGAGGTTCTTTTGGTTCCAACGAAGCGTATATACCGAACCATGCGTGGATGAATCCACAATTTTTGAATTGATCGACAATTATAATTTGAGTGATCTAAAACATTTATCCATTGGCGCTCATCGAGTGAAACTTCAATGTAATAAGAGTAAAACCTAAAGTATCAAACAATTCAAATAACTTGTAGAGTAGTTATTTGTAAAATAGTAGAGAAAACTAAATAATGGGAACAGAGCTGTAGAATAATAAAAACAAGTTATAGACAACATTGTACAATTATTATTTATTAAGAACTAAATTGATAAATTTGTTTGGTTTACCTAAAATTAAATCAAATGCTCATAAAATAAAATAGTTGTACATAAACGAAAATCAATTATTAATCAGTTCATTAGTTACGTATGTTTTGAATAATTATTCAAACACATTTTATTTATATAAAATAGCCATTTTAATTTAAAATATTTATAAATTCAAAACATACTTTGGATTCGTGGCAATTCCATCTGATAACAATAATTCAATATAGTTTATAAATGAAGGATGGTCCAACGTTAACATATAAGTACCGCCATCATTGCCACGGATTGGAGGATAACTCTGAGACTCATTAATAAGATTCACATCGGGTTCTAAAAAATGAAATAATTGAAACCAACATAATTAGCGAATTACAAATTGATGTGTACAGCAAGCATACTTAGTTGTCCGCGAAGTTTAGGCTCATCTGGTGACCACGTGTTTTTAAATTGTATGACATTAGAAACTGTACTGCCCACTTGTGATTTCCTAGCCTCGGACAGTTCTTCATCACTCATTAACGGATACCTGACGGCCGATAAAACTCTGATTTTAGTATCAGGATCCACGTCGATTTGGTTCTCATTGATCCAGCGACAAACCATACGGAATATAACTAATTCATTAGCACAAAACGAGTCACGTTTTAAGATTTCATGAAGAGCTTCCTAAAAGCAAAAATTGTTTCTCAACTTTTCAATTAACATTAACAATGCCATTTTTTTATTAAAAAAAAACTCATTACTGATGACAAAGAAAGAAAATCATCTGTTTGCATTACATCCAAAGCATGGATATCAATAAAGTTGATTCATTCGACTTCAAGATCCTTGTATTGATAAAGCCGTGTCATATCAAAGAACGAACATACATTGTGTACTTCTATTTTTTTTTTCAAATACTCGCCTAGTAAGTGTTTTAAGTTTAAAAAGCTAAATAAATCCGAAACACGTCTTAGTTCGAAAATCTCACTACCCTAAAACATAAAGAATAAATAATGTAATTTATCTTTTTTTATTCACCTGTTTTTCGATTAAACACATAATTTAATTTAACAGTCCAAACACATACTATCCAAACGATCACACAACCCTAATACTAATTATATTGTACCAGTAACCACTAAGCTTAACTTAATAACCACTAAGCTACGTCGATTATTCGTTACCTCTAGATCACTTAAATTTATTCGACCAGTATAAATATATTCAAGAAGTATTTTAAATGTGGTTAATGGGACTTCATTAATTTCCATCGTAGACTGATTGGCTTCTCTAAGGCCTCCGTAAAATGCTCTCCTAAAAATAATACACACTATTACTACAAACGTTTAATTATGGAGTGATATGTTACCCTTTTGAGGGGTAAGCTAGACAATTGTACTTCTGGTATAATAAAATCATTTAGTTTGAGTATCCCCTGAGGGTTGAGACTTATGGCCCGGTTTGACGTGGAATTCCCCATAAACAGGTGAATAAAGATTAAAATTATGCTCGACTTTCAGATTAGATGTTCAAAAATTTTAAAAAAAAATTGTAATAATAATAAAACAAAGTTTTCACCCGCCCAAGAAGAAAGGCCTAAGATATATACTTCAGGATAAGACAAAAAATACCTAAAATATTCGCTGCGTGAAGCTAATACAATACGATGGGCAGGCAATCGTTTTCCTCCTACAATCAAATAAACATCTGAAAAGCTGAAACATTTATTGAAATTGTTTAATAATATTAGGTATCACTTAACTATGAGTAATGTATAATTACGATAGTTTGCCAAAAAAAATTGTCTTACAATTAATAAGTATCAATCCTATCTCAGTGACTTAATTTAAAATAGAAAAAATGGAAAATAATATTAGTAAAGAATAATTTAGGGCAGAAAGGAGATAAAGAACAGAAATGGGGGAGAAGATGAACGTGATTATTTTGACAGGTCAGTCAAATATAGTTTTAATTAACACTTATATAATTTTTATTCCACTTTGTGTGCTATCTAATTTAAATGATATAAGAATTATTACACCAAAATAGGCAAAACGGGACTAACTAACGGCGTACTTCTTCCATCTTATTCCATATATAACACATTATAATGTTAACGTAGAATACATTTTTGGCTATGGTATTAAAAAAGTATAAACAAGAAAAACTAGCTAAACTGTTAAAATATTAATTTAATATGGTCAAATTAATAACGTATACCTTTCGCTTAGATATAGGGTGCTTATGTCGCTGACCAAGAATTCAGTATGGTCGTTTTACTCTTTACTGTGTACTTCAATGTCGTATAACAAATACTCGCGTAGTGAAATATTTAAGTTTGAAAAACCAAATAAAACTGAAATACTAAGTAATTCGGAAACATCTATACCCTAAACAATAAACAATAAAAATACATAATTTAATTTAATAGATCACACAAATACAATCGGCCAAACAAACACACAACCCTAATAAAAATTGTATTGTGCCGTTTAATAACCGCTAAGCTACTTTGATTATTCGTTACCTGTAGAACGTTTAAATTTATTCGACCAGTATAAAAATTCCATTTTTAATATGGTTACTGGAGCTACATTACTTTTCATCAAGGCCCGACCAGACTTTTTAGGGCTTCCGTATAATGGCATCCTAAAAATAATACACAATATTATTACAAACATTAAATTATCGAATTAAACTTAGGGGTAAGCTAAACAATATTGTACTCATATCATTTTTGAAATGATGAAACCATTTTTTTGAGTGCCCAAATAAATGGAACAATTATTTTCAATTTTATAAACGACCATCGGCATATTCCGTTTAGTTTCACAATATTTAAGACGGTAGCAACGTCAAGAGTAAGTGGAAGTAGATAACATAAAATAGGGGTCTCATTTTAGGTTATATCGAACAAGAAAGTCTAATGGTCATTTTATGGGGTGAGCCCGCTGACCCGGTTTGACGTTGAATGCCACGTATACAGGCGCAAATAAAGATTTAATTTATATCCAACTTTCAGACTTGATGTTCAAAACAAGTGGTTCCAAAAAAAAAAAAATTATAATAATAATAAAGCAAAGTTTTTCACACGCCCAAGAAGAAAGGCCTAAGGAATTATACTTAATGATAAAAATTAAATACCTAAAATATTCACTGCGAGAGGCTAATACAACACGATGGGCACACAATTGTTTTCCTTCTACAACCAAATCAACATCTGAAAAGCTGAAACATTTATTAAAATTGTTTATTAATATTAAGTATAACTTAACAATGGTCTAATTAAGATAGTTTTCTAAAGAAATTGTCTTATTTTTAATAAGTATCAATCCTATCTCAGTGACTAGAAAAAAATGTAATTAATGAATAATTCAGTGTAGGAAGAAGATATAGACCAGAAAAGGGAAAGAAGATGAACCTATTTATTTTGACCGGTCATTCGATAGTTTTGAAATAATACTTTTATAGTTTTTCGCCACTTTGTGTACCTAATTTAAAGCAAATAAGAATTATTACAACAATTGGTGAAACGAAACACACTAACGGCCTACTTTAGTTTACTATTTTTGGGTATGGTTTTACAAAAGTACATACAAGACAAACTTGCTCAATTGTTATAATATTAACTTAATAGGTCCAAATTTAATACCGCATACCTGTTGCTTAGATAGAGGTTGCTTATGTCGCTGACCAAGAGTTGAGTATGATCGATTTCATCCACACCGTGCGCTTTAAATAAAACAAATAAAATAATTGATTTTTTGGACGAGTTTGTATGATTTATTTATTCAGGTAGGATTCACCCATCCAATTTTACATTTTTTAACCTTTTGTTTATTATATACTTAAAAAATAATTATTATGATAGTTTTAATAGTTGTAAAAACTCAAGTGTTTAGCCTAAAATAAAAACAATTTTAATGGGTATATTATAATTTTACCTTGATAATAATTAAAATTTTTAATTTAAAAACTATCTCCTAATAATGAGGGTTAACTTTTAAGTCTTACTTGAATAGTATAGTGTTTTTAATTTAATTTTTGTTAACATTTTAGTTATATTATTATAAGGTAGCCAAAATTATTCAATTTTTTATCTATTAAATAAAAAGCTATGTCAACTTGTAAAACGTACACATTAAAAATAATTCTTATTCCTTTTAAAAGTCCATCTGCATATTCAATTCTATTTCAAATTCTTTAAGATTTAATCAAACAATTTTCATCGTCCCAAGTTCTATCTCTAAATGAATATGCTTAAAGATAAGACCACACAGAAGTAAATACATAGTTGGTCCAACAAACATAATGGCCAACAGAATAGGGACACACTAAAATGTTTAGTTAAAATAACTATACATTTAGTCCGGCAAGCTAAATGTTTAGATAGGCCAACTCTTCATTTAGTTATTCAAACTATAAATTCATTGTGTCTCTATATTAAGTATAATATTAATTGGACCAACTATGTATTTCTTTTCGTGCACCCAGGATAGATGAACAGGGGGGGGGAATTATTTGTAAGATGCTACCCGGAACCTACACGATAGACCCTGTATAAAAAGTTCAACTAAAAAATGGACTGTCTATTACTAAAATTTTAGTAAAAAAAAACGTTTGTGTTTGATGCTATAAAAATACTTCGCTATTGAACAAACAAAAAACCAATGACGTATAAGATAATTTTACTTACTGTCTGACTAGACTAGGCAAAGTGGCCGTCGATAAGGCTAAAATAGACGGATCTCCACGGGAAAACGGTTGGCTAGGCCGCTGTCTACGTCTAATTGGCCTTAAAGTCTCCCTTATTAACTTAATATATCGCCCGAGGAGCTAGAACGGGCGGTCACACTGTTAAATAATCTAACTCTCAGCTGCAGGCTACAAGATGTTTTATTCTAAATTAGGGTTTCTAAATAAAATACAAAATTATACAATATATATATTTATATATATACACTCTGACCTGGGTTGAACGATGAAATGGTTGGTCAAAGCGGAGCTGAAACGGACGCACACAAAAGATAGTCGGATGGGCGGCTTGTAGTAAAACGGCAAAAATATAGAGCGCAAGGTCGAGGATATTGGCGGTTCGTGATGGTAAAGTCAACTGGTTAATTAGATGATACGCGACGTGCATTGTCCTGTGTGTGCGACCGTTGCCCTACCTATAGTCGGGGGTGCTGTGTCAGTAGGTTTGGGACGCGAAGTAACGGTCAGGTGAAATATGATCGTTACAGCTGCCCCTCCCCCGTAGAGGTCCGACCTCGGACCTAGTGGTATAAAGTTAAGGGTTGTCAAAAAAAGGTTGAAAAGCAAAAGAAACGAAATGGTGGTACAAAAATTCCTGAAAATAAAGGTGAACCCTTAAAACTAAGTGGGGGAAAGAACACTTGTTTTTTTTTGGTGGACTTCTGGCGACTTCGAAGAGCTGGAAGGACATCCCTCTTAGTCTAGGGCCACATCATTGTCGCATTCCCTCTGCATCGGAAAACGGCCCGCCCTATCGTCGCTTTCTTGGCATAAGCTCGGGGCAAAAACGGAACACCGGGTCTTCGCAAAGTCCTCCCCAAAAATAGTGTTCTTAAAATTTAACAATAATCCACATTTAAAAATTCCGTCATTATTAAGTTAAAATCTATTGGGTCACAAACAATGTGGGCGTGCATCCGGTGAATAATATTTATAAAATAAAATAATGTGTAATCACAAATTAATAGAATTTAAGTTAACTTAATGGCTCTGGGGAAAAAGTTGCACAAAAAACCAGCCATTTACAATATACACTTAAGTTAAAGAATGCACGCACCTTCAGGTGTATTTTGATTTAATTGTAGGGTAGTTTTCCGTAAACAATTTAAATTAAAGAAAGTAATTATGTCCGTCCCCAGGTCGTTACGCGGTTTTTTTTTCTAAAATGTATACAAACATTATACATACGATACAAAAAAAATTACATAAAATATTTTGACGTCGGCTAATCTTGCGCCTTTGGCGTATCGCATGTCTAGAAAATGATTTATTTTAACTATAAAAATCGGTCAATATATATGTATATAATAAAAATATGTAAAACAAAGGCATTATTAACACACAGATTGTCTTTAAAAAGACAGTTTTAAAAGTTGACCACCGTACCGCTGCGCCTAAAACTTAATATAAAAGTCGACTTAATAAGACATACATATATATACTTAATAAAATACAGTATAATTAATACATATATATTTTTATATAGCCCCTAAATACACATTGCCTTGGAAAATTAACATTTAGTTAAGAATAGAATCAATTATATGGTTAGACAAGTAACTCGGACGTCATTTTACGTAAGTACCTTTAATTGTAAATGTTCTCATAGGAAAAATAAAATATTTTTATTAAAATAAAAATAAATAAACGAAACTATTTCAAAATAATTTCATAAAGTTACAAAAATCAGCATGCGCAAAATTATGCATATAAAAATAAAATCGCCGTAAAAAGAAAATATTGGTTGCATCTGCACACCTCGTGTCAATAAAAATAAATTCGTTAAAATCCGATTTAATGTGAACATAGTCAAATACAGTTAATTGAAAACGAAACGCCGTGTAAAATATCAGTCATTATTTCATTAACTAATCCGAAATTATTTTATAAAGCCGAAAAATGAATACGCCGCATAATGTGTGTCAACTCGTGACCTGACATAATAGTCGTCCATTGATGTTGATAAAAATAATAAAATATTATTCAACAAGTAAAATAAGTCAATCCGAGATCGTCAGAGACAGTGCCGTGTAAAAAACATGTCAACGGTAAAACCGAACGATCACCGCGGGGGTTAGCCGGGAAAATATTTGCCAAAATAATAATATAACAGTCAATCTGAACAAACGCAGAGACTAAAGCCGTACAAATAAAATATAAAAACTCAACGGTAACCAACCGGAAATATGTATTTATTCACTACCAAAGTCGCTGATGACATTCGCGCAATAACAACAAAAATATTTAAAATTCAAAAATTCGATCCGGACGTATAAAATAAAGGTTAATTACTCCTTTCTCTTAAACTACCCATAGGGTGACATTCGAAACTCAATATGTGTTATATGGTGTGGTAAAAATGTTGGTCTTCAGACCATAAGCAAATAACTCAATAAAATATTGAATTTGCAGTAAAAATGCGGCACTAAGCGGCAATATCGGCAACAATGGATCTGCGGCAAAAATAAAATTGCGGCGATCCATGGCCATGGCAAAATCGGCAAATAAAAACATACAAAATCAATTTCAAATTGATTATCGTAAAAGCGGCAACGTGCGGCTAAATATGCCTCCTATGGCTGCGGACGACAACGTGCGGCTAAAGATGAAACAAACGGCAAATAGGTACTATTTAGTACGCGTCGGCAAAAACGATGATGTAAATAAAATCGGCAAATAATTCGGTAGTATTGATGACTTAGCAACAGGCGTACGGCAGAAGTAGTATGTGAATATTAAATTCTAATATAGTTAGACAAAAAAAACTGACCCAGTTCATATTATCCTAGGCAGACAAATAAGGGTCACAACTAAAACGGACCATAAAATGACCTACTTCTGGAAATTATAGTAATACATAAACGACGTTCCGATCCTAATTGCTTATTTATATGTATGGGGCAAAATATAAAGATAATTTTCTGTTCTAACAGTCAAGGAATCGTATTATAATATTTTATAATCGTGTCAAATTCAAATAATAATATGAAGTGCGAGTCGGGAATCGGTGTCCAAGGATTGTCAGAAAATAAGACTCGGACATGTCCACGATTCATTTCTGACAACGCAATAACAGAAAAAGGCATTGCCTTACAACCGAACGTTTATAATTACGGGATAACGGTTAGGTTGAAGTTATAAAATCTGCAACGGCAGTTGTCTGCCGCCAAGGAAATATGTGTTTTTTTTTTTCTAGATGTATTCCTAGTGATCTTTTACACCGTGAGAAATGAGAGTTATAATTTTCATTCCATAAGCCACGGTGGTTAAAAGGTCATGCAACTTTTTTTATAATGGAAATCGGATAGCGCCGGGTTGATATCAAATTCTATGTTGGGAACACTTTCATCGCGTGGGGCCCGTTCGCGGAATTTATTACTGACCGTTAGCGCCTGCTCTGTGACGCGCGCGTCCTGAGTACAATCGCCGTGTCTAATTTCGTCTGGGCCGTTACCATTTACAATATTGATCTCACGAGTGTAGTCATGATTTTTAATTCGTTGTTGTAATATTTGCTTGCTGACGGTTAAATCACCGTAATCATTTATTATAGTTATTGTTTGAAATTCATTAATTTTATTAGCGTTAGGTTTGAACACAAGAGGTGTCCAATGACGGTGTGAGAACAATATCATAACACAATTACGATTTGGTTTTGAAAAGACGATGGTACCTTCTTCATGTGTCCTATCGGATTTCGATATAACAATCAAGTTAAAGTTGAATCTAACTAATCTAGACCTTAATACGTCTACTTTTCCGTTATTATCTAATTGTTTTAATTTACAAAGCTCTATTAGTTCGTCTTTTTTGAGTACATAAATGTCTGTTAATCTATTTATTGAAAGATTCGCTTTAGCCAATTCATTAGTGTAAGTAAAGTCGGACATGTGGGTAGTTAGAAATGCTTAACATATTCACTCACAATTTTTTCTATATTTTTGAAGATGGTTGGTTGAATTTAATTTAAGATTTTCTAAAATGTCACTAATTTCATAAATTTCTTCGTCTAAAATTTGTAAAAGTTCCTCATTTGATTTAATAATACTAAAATTAAATAATTCTTTTTTACTATTTACGTTGTTGCCAAATATTTGTAATAATTTTAATTCTATTTTTCGAATAACCTTCCTATCCATTTAATTTAATTTAGTTGAATTTTAAAATCTGTACTTAAATTTCCATAAAAATGAATAATAAAAATTTTAAGTGTTTACCAAAAAAATTTTATTAGAGAGAAAAAAAAAATTATTTAATCAAAAATTCGCTCTACACTATTCCACAATAAAAAAAAAAAAAAAAATATATATATATATATAACAAATAATTGTGCCAAGAGAGAAAGAAACCAAAAATATTTCTTTTTCTTCAAAACATACAAATACTTGGGAAAAAGAAAAAAAAAATGTTCTTCTAAAACTTAAAATAACTCCAAATTAACCTAGCAGAGTGAAGAGAGAAAAAAAATATATTTTGCTAATTAAATTGGAACATACTTGGAAATTTTTCTGAGATATAATTTAATAAAAGAAAAATATGCGTAAAAACAAAAACCGTAGAATAATTTATCCTACAGAAACAGAAAGGTATGGGCAAACAACCTCCCATAAAAATAAGATAACCTCTTGGAGAAAAATATCTCCTAACTTTGAAATATACCAGCAATTCTAGGGGTATACTTCAAAAAAAAAAACACACACATAAAAACACTTGAAGGGAAAAAACCTAATTCTTTTCCCTAGAAAAAACACACATAAAAACACTTGAAGGGAAAAAAACCTAATTCTTTTCCCTAAAAAAAACTGGCACTAACCTTATGTAGCGACAGGAAATCTTGGTGGTCGTGGAGGTTCGAGTCACGAGTTGGTCGCCACTTTGTCGTATGCGGTATTAACTTGATACGCACAATGTGCGTATCACACAGCGTATGTACTCACAATGATACCCTTTCAAAGCCAATGCCCAGCCGCTTAGTCGAGATTAATACTGATATTTTACTGTTTCTAACAAGGTATTAAACAATATAAAAAAAAAAATGACATTCTATTCAATAATAATGTTTTTTTTTTCTTTTTTTTATAGCTAACTACTATTATTTAACTATTATATTAACATTGGAGTTAAGAAAATTTTAATTTTTTGTTCTTATACTATGTACTAGGCCCCTCAATACTGAATTCTATAGTACGATAATTTCTCAAGAGATCCGTTTAAACAGTTAAAGAAAAGAAACTGAATTGTTAGCCCTGATATGGACAGAAATTGATTTGACCAATACATTTCAGTAAGTTAACATAGTGAGTATTTAATGTATTGATGTGAAATAATGACAATCCTAATTAAAACCGTAAACTGTAATTTATAAATAAATTAAATACAACGGGTGTAAATTGTAATTGATGATAATGTTAATATCGGTACTTACGTTTACACGGCTACTTCAAGACCAGCACTGATCTGGAATGTTTTTTGATAATATTATGTAAACGCACAACGAACAACAACTTTTAAAGAAAACTAAATGATCACTACCTTATTATGAACAAATACTGTGCGACTCGTGATGAACGATACAGAGTGCACTGAGTACTAACACAGAATAGTCTAATCTGTACCAGCTAGAGTCTTTAACGCTATACGGAGCGTGTGGTCAGTTCATTTATTAATCCACGGGGCACAGCTACCTATATGAAAATGTTTTAATAGTATAGTCTGTGCAGACTACAGTACGGTTAAGATTTTTAGAACTTTTTCTGTACTTCTAAAAATTGATAAAAGATATTGTGTAACAATGTTATAACAGCGGCGTCCGCGGTCTGCGATGGTCGGCTGGAGGTAGAACGCGGTGAAGGTAAATATTGAAACGCGGTTAACCGTGGTCTCTACTATCAGTCCCGGTTCTACCACGGCGTTATATAAAATCAGATGGCTAAAACGGCGTCGGTACCTCAATCAAAAGACGATCAATGTTTTTATGCTTTTCATAATTCATGAATAGTGAAAACAATAAGGAGTTAATATATGTGCGCATGGTGTGACACGTCCGGACGAAGCCAGAAACACGTTATAAACATTTGATGACATAATTGCCATATTGCCTCATAATATAATATCAATCTAATAACGATTTTATAATTGTCAAACTGTTCACGGGAAACGTCAAACGGATAAAAATTGGAATTTCGAGTCAGTAATCAAAATACAGCCGTTCGATTGCAACTCGTGTCGAAAAGTGGTCAACTTCCAAACTGAATTATCCATCGCATAATAATATGATCTCTACAGCCCCAAAATGTCCTCAAAGTGAATCTGCTGGGAAAGGACTCGGGTGAGAAAAATTTTCAATAACTACACATTTTTTAGAACAATTTTTATTCATTTAAATTGTCATAATTTCACATCACTACATTCCAGACTGAAGTTCTGGTCAAAATATTCTTGAATAATAAAATAAAAACTATCTAGTTTGATCTAGTATTATCTAAATGTAATTGATAAGAGTAATTATATTGTGGGTAAAATTAGAAATTAACTTAACTAATGTATAAAAAAATTTTTTCTCTTTTACTCATAGAGATAACGGTATGGTCAACGGGATTAATGTTAAACACGAATCCGATGAAATGAAAGGTTATTGCCTTGAATCGTCGATACAAGAAACGATACCTATGAACGTGCAAGTTACAAACAACTTGGCTGACGAAAAATGTGATTTGTGTTTAAATTCGTTTACATCCGAAATGCAATTGAAACATCATATTACAACATCACACAATGGTATTTCTAAGATCGATGAAATTACAATTAAAAATGAAGTAGATAATTGTTTCGAGTAAGTCGATTTTAAATTTAACATCTATATTACATTATTTCATAATGTGAACATTATAAATAATATATAAATATTGAATAAAAACAAGATTTTACTTGATCTTTTTTCGCCTTAACTTAGAGTATTATTACGTTAAATATAATTCATTTTTATATTAAAAAAAAAAAAACTATAACACTTGTTATTTTTTTCTTGTAGAGATAACGATATGATCAACGGGATTAATGTTAAAAATGAATCCGATGAAGTGGTAGATTATTGCCTTGAATCGTCGATACAAGATGAAGAAATGATACCTATGAACGTGCAAGTTACAAACAACTTGGCTGACGAAAAGCGATTTGTATTTAGAATCGTTTACATCCAAAAAGCAATTGAAACATATTACAACATCGCACAATGGTATTCCTATGAATGATGAATGTTCAATTGCAACAGATGTGGAAAACAAATTCAAGTAAGGCCCTTTTTAATATCAAAACATATTTTCTAAAAAAGTGTATTACATTAGTATGTAACGACTATGTAAAAATATATATTTTTTAAACTATAGGCTTTGCCATTTAAACTCTTTGATTTGGTGTTTTAGTATTTTATGTTTTTCGGTATTGTTACAAGTCTCTTTTTGTCTGTATATGTTTTTTTGTCCAAAATCAATATTTCTTGAGTTATCCATGGGTAGATAGGTGCTAAGCGTTTGGTTCAGTTTACATTGGCGGCATTTATTATTTATGTCTTCTTTCACATAATTAAATTCTAGCTGTCCATTAATTTTTCTTATCTAGTAAACATTTAAACAGAACTTATTGATGTACATATTTCAGTTTTATACAATATTTAGAAGAAATACACTTTTGAGTAGTTTTGCTATCATTAGCACTCACAGCGGACTGATTATGTAGACTGAATCTAAAGAAAAAACTACCTATTTTTTTTTAGTTTGGTTTTGCTCTGTTAGGGAAACGGGTCTTTTACTAGTTTGGCTCCCGGATTAAGAATATTAATGTTTTAACGTGTTGAGGCAGTAGACGAGGCTTATTTATTTTAATTTGTTTTTTTTTTTCGTTTTTTAGTTTATTAGTTATTTTACTTTGTACATAATTGAACTTTTCATCTTTTCACTGTTGAATGAATTTTTGCTTTTTGTTCACTTAAAACTTCACAGTATTTCAACCACGAAAAATGGTATGATGAAATTTTACTTCTTAATAAAATTATGGTTTGGCGGCCTCTTAGGTTAGTTTGTTATGCATTATTTCTATTTTATTTGTCAGCAGTTCAGGGAAATAATTTTTCCAATTCAGTTTAGAATCATTTCCCATGTATTAACTATGCTAATTTTGTATTCAGATAATTTATATATTGTATATTATTTATAATTAAAATAAAATAAAATAATTTTTTTTTTGGAACTAACTATAAAATATGCTGTCAAATTGGTTTGGTCTGATCTAGGGTTCTTAAAACGTTGTTAAACTATGACTGAGTTTTAATCACATAACTTTTGTACAGGATAAGTTGATCTGAGTTAAAAAAATAAGAGTAATATTTTTAATAATAGGACCGGTCCGGTTAAATAGCATGATTTACTAATTTTATTATCCGTTTTCATTTTATTAGTGCTTGAAAGAGATCTACAGTCTGAGGTTGAAACTTGTAGTTTAATATCTTTCTAAAAAAATAAATACAATTGAAAAACCTTATTTTTCAAAATGTACTTTTGTGTTTTAGATTTAATGAAACAGAAGACAAGCCAAGAATTAAAATTGAAGTAGGTGAGACTGACAACTATAACTACAAGTCTATATTTGAAACAGGAGAAAATAATGAGCAATTAAATGAGCAACAACAAACAATCGATGGAAATGCATACAGGTAATTCTTCTTGAGTAATCAACCCTAAGGTTAGTATTACAGCATTCTTTCATACTCCCTCCACTCTTCTCTATTATTGGCCAGTCTCTTTGGTTCCGTTTAGGTTCTCAGTCCGGCATCATTAATAATTTTATTGATTAACGTTGTTAAATAGTTATTAAACTATGACCGAGTTTTAATAACATAATTTAGGTATAGGATTAGTTCATCTGAGTTAGAAAATACAAAATTATATTGTAAAAGTAGGATCGGTCCGGTTAAATAGCATTATTTAATAATTTTAATACCAGTTTCAATTTTTGTTGTACTTGAATGACATCTACGAAAGGCTGATACTTTTAGTTTAATATATTTTTAAAAAAACTATTTAAAATTAAAAATCTTATTTTTTAAATTGTACTTTGTGTTTTAGATCTCATTAGATCCATCACTCGTTTGCTGGTATTTTTATTACATTTTTAGTTTTAATACGTATATTTTTTTTGTTTTTAGTGTCAGAGAAACTTGCGTTGATACAGAAGTAAAAGTCGAAATTAAAAACAGTGGTCTTTCGGATTCGCAAACAATAAACTACAAGAATTCTTTTAGGTAAGGCTGAGTGTTCAATTTAATATATTGAATTATCAATGGTTTTGTCGTTAACAGTCTCTTCAGTTCCCTTTAAGTTCTCAGTCCAGCATCTTTAATAATTTTATTTAATACCGTTGTTCTCGGACGTCCTCTGCCTCTCTTGCCTTCAATTTGTCCTTTCAATATTCTGCGTTTTAGTTCCTTTTAGTGTCTTTAAGTATGTCCAATTAGTCATTAGTAGTGGTTTGTACATTCAATACATCTACTAAGGTCAAATTAGAATTTTTAATAATAATAAGCAATTGTGAGAAGAATATATTTTTTCAAAAATTTATAATTTATTGTTCGACAATGTTTTGTTGTAGTGACAATGGTACGAGAAATAAAGTGGATAAAAAACTGACGGTAGTTATTTCGAATCGAAGATTGAAACAGATAACAATCAACAGACAGAAACCAAGAATAATAGTAAATATATAACAACATGGCGGTTCTTTCAATGTAATTTATGTCAAAAAATATATAACACAAAAAAACAAATAACTCTACATGTATTAAAATCCCACCAAAGTTCAACGGACAACATCAGCCGACCCGATAAATGTGACGTCACACTTCATCAACGCATGCACACCGGCAAAAAGTCTTTTAAATGTAATCTATGCTCAAATACTTTTTCTACAAAATCTTCCCTTATAAATCACCAACGCGTCGTGCACACCGGAGAAAAGCCTTATAAATGCACTGTGTGCTCAAATTCATTTTCTCGAAAACTCCTACTCACAAGACACAAATGCCGTGCACTTCAGTATAATGTCAGTCAATGATTTATGTAAAACACAAACAAAAAATTAGTTTTCAAATGTACAATGACATTATTATTTACATAACCTTAAACATAAAATACAGGTTTGCAAAAGTTTATGTCATTATAGAGCGAATGAAAAGTCCTATTGAATATAATTAATATTGTCTATTTGGGTCATGGAATATAAGTATGTTATAAGTAATAAATATAATATAACCTTATATGCTATTATATGTGAACACTATAGAAATCATTGAGTAATATTTAAAAATTGTTTTATACAAGGACCAATTACATTTATAACCTAGATTATATTATATATAAGACATAGTATTAAGGTGTTGGATTTACCACTCTATTACGACTGCTGTTATAACTGTAACGTATGTTGTATATTTTATTCTCTATATTTATACTGTGTGTTTTTTATGTTTAATAGTATTGTGTTCAAACATATTATTGTTGTGTTTTATTTTCTACTTAAATACTAACTTCCGCCAAGATATACAGGCGTATATCGCAACAAGTCCATTTACTAAAAATATTTAATATACATTATGTTTAGCTTTAAATAGTAATAGTTGTGCATCGTCAACTTTTATATTTGTCTTTTTTTACTCAGTCGATAGTACTATCTTAAAAATACCCTTCCCAAGTTTTGTACCAATTTGACTGTTTACCAACAAATTTTAGCTTAAGAATTATGTTATTGTATTTTTATACATCATTATAAAGCCAATAACTTCATCACGCTATTATACAGAACAAACATTGTTACCTCTTGATTTTACTTGTGATTTTTGTAGAAAAAGGTTTTACTTTTTACATAATATTAAATAGCTGTAACTTATTTATTATTATTAACACAAGTTGCATGAACATTTTATTTAACTCTGAATTCTACTTCATTTGATATTTAGAAAAAGTTATTTCTGAAGTTTGGTTGAATTGTATTAATATTTTGTCGCAAAATCTAGTTTTCTATTAATATGAAATTGTATAAATTTTATTAAGTAAGTTGTTTGAATTTATTATTAACTGTTAAGTTTTTATTTAATAAAAGTATTTTGAAATATTATTAATTATGTTATTGTTTTTAAATAAAAAAAAATAATAATTACAAAAGTTCGGTTGGAGAGTCAAGATGAAATAAATTAGTATAAGTATGGAGAAGTTTTAAATCTTTTTTAAAACATGTTCAGTTTATAGCAAAAATAAAAAATAAAATGAAATAGCTGTCATTTTTAAACTATTTGTACAAATACTGCTCTGAAAACATCATATTATAGCTACAACTTTATAGTTTTAGTCACTTTCCCCTGTATGAAATAACAGCGGTATTAGTAGTTTTGAGCAGACCATTTTGCACGTCTTACCTCCCGTCAAGGGGCAAGTGCGATATTTTTTTTTAAATTTTTAATTGTAAAAATGTTTTAAAACAATTTTACTAAATTTCGACAGTGGATTTAAATAAAGTACACCCATAACATTATATTACAACGGTTGAAAGTATTACGGGCTAATACATGTTAATGATTTTTTTTATAATTTGATTATTCATTTATATTTTTTGATTCGACCTAATGCAATATAAATATGTAATGCTGGTTTTTACAGACTGATGAAAATTGTAATAAAATATTTAAAACTTTAAAATCGGAGAGGTATTAATAGTTACTAAAAGCAATTCATGGTTCTCAAAAATATATTTGACATGTTAAAATTAAAAAAAACGTGCAAAAATAGTTTTTTTTGAAAATTTAAATATTATGTTTTTATATTATAAAAAATGTAATTTAAGTCTAATATGGAGGAGCATATTAATAAAGTTTTATACTTATAATTAAAATTTTATATTTGGTTTATTTACATTTAAAAATAAATTAATATATATTAAATATTTTTTAGTAATCATACATTAGAATATTTCCAATGCATTAAGTTTCAAAGTGTTTTCACCATAAACCACACACACATAATAAGGTGACGACGTTATGATGAAATTATAATTTTAAATCATTAGTTTCTACAGTTGATAATAGGAATAGAAATAATAGAGTAGGTAATCGGATAAAAAAATACAATTCATAAAGTTGGATACGACCGATGGGATATGGCATAGGCTGAATGGGTAGAAAAGTACTATATACACATTCGCCAATTGTGATAGAGAAAGTTTTAAAATGTACTTTTTTTTTGGATTTTTTTTTTTGTAGGCATAAGTATAACTAAAAATCATACTTTTACAATACCTATCATATGAGTACAACACTGTTGTATTGCCCTTGAACCGGCGCTAATACTTAACAGAATTCAGAACTCCTACAAGGGAAAGACCCTAGTGGCAAGTTTGGTATAGTTCAAATCAATACACGTTGACCCAGAAAACCTTTGCGCATGTCTGTGGACTTAGACTCGAGTTAACGAAAATAAACCGCTCGTACCAGGAGTCCATGAGAAACCACCTCGAAAAAGTAGAAAACAACCTTTGCCAATACAACTGCTGCCGGTAAAGCCTTTGACTCTAAGACCCTGTTAGCTTTTTTTCAGTTTTTACATTTTTTCGCGAAAAACACGAGTGAATGCAAAACTAAACAATAATAATACAACTTTTAATAATTATAATCTTGTGATTATTATTTTTTTAATTTTACCATTTTGTTCCATCGACAACCGAGTAGATTTAAGATCCGTATTGAGGTGGTTAAATCTTGAAAGCGGTCTGTTCGGTTTCGTGCCAAAAAGCGACTGACTACTTAGGACCGTCCGATTTCGATTTTGTTTGACTACTCTACGCTAGGTTAAACAGTTTTTTTTGTTTATTTTTATGTGAAAAAATTGTTTCTTTTTTATATTGAAAAACGTTTAAATTAAATTAATACAACTGCGACAAACTGAATCCCCTTAAATCATTTTTCTAGTTCGTCTACACTTTTGTAGACCATTTCTTTTATTCTACTAACTTAACTTTTCACTACATGAATTGTTTTATTTTTATAAATCAATTATTAACGATTCATATATTGTAATTAAAATATACAGGGTGTCACGGAAAGTTCTACCGAGCTTCAAATGAGACATTTAGGATGCTCTATGGGTACAATAAATAGTATTAATTTGTTTTATATTTTAAAATTATTTAAAATAGAACTCGTATCTCATTAAAAAATGGTCTTACGAAAAAAATAATTTCCGATTTGAAATCAGGAGAAAAAATCTTGTTGAATTGATATGTAACATGATTTTGGTATCTGGCCACACATGCGTCCACTGAGTGGCCGGCATATGATCAAATCCAGCTTATGAAATGTGACACATCATTTTGGGTTAGAATTTAATTCTCAATTCAGTGGTGTTCTTAGTATTATTTTATATTTAATTGTGTGTCGCATGCCATATGTTGGTTTTAGTCACATGCCGGCCACTCGGTGGCCACCCTGTGGACGTGTGTGTGGCCAGATACCAAAAAATCATATTACATATCAATTCAACAAGATTTTTTCTCCTGATTTCAAATCTGAAATTATTTTTTTCGTAAGACCATTTTCTAATGAGATACGAGTTCTATTTTAAATAATTTTAAAATTAAAAAAAATGAAGACTATTTATTGTACCCATATAGCATCCTAAATGTCTCATTTGAAGCTCGGTAGAACTTTCTGTGACACCCTGTATATACAATGTGTATGTGTTTACTGTATTTTAATGATAAAAAGCGATAGTTCAGTTATTTGACCATAATATCAATAAACAATAGAAATATAAGTGACCTAATGCATAGGTATATGCACTCACACACAGTGAAGGGTTAAGTATGAGTGATTTTGTCACAATTTCAGACCTAAGCCACCAAAATGGCGTTTGCTCGTTGAACAAATTGATCAAGTTAAAAATAAAAACCCCTTTTATTGAAATATTGCCTGTACACAAAATCCTTAAAACCCGTCCACTTTCAATCCCATTAACTACTGAAGTCTGGTACATTAGGCTGGGTATTCTTTTTTATTTTCAACACTTGAGTTTTTGTTTTATTCTGTCATCTTTTTTGTAATGGTCAATCGTACATTATCTAATATAATAAATAGTATAATATTATTGATAAATGTTATCAATTATTTTTGTGGCATTGATTATCATTATAAGATAATTGATCTTGTATATCAAGACAGATATATAAATCATTTCACTCTATTTGTGTGTGGCATTTTGTTTTATTTCTCTATTCACAACAAGCTCTTAAACTTATGCACATCGAAGTTAATTGTTTCATTTCAATTATACCATACTTACTAGATTTTTTAAAAATCAAGAAAGTAATATACCGCTATATAGGTATAAATAATAGGTATTTGTACTGGCCATAAATGTTTAACAATATTAGTGTATTATATTACTGTGCTGTTATCTGTCTAGTAAGCACAATAAATTCCTAGTTATTACTTAATTATTTATTAAAATTTGGATAAAAAATGTCGAAAGAAAGGTTAAACATAAATAAAGCTAAGCTAATTCTGTGGTGTTTGGGTGCCTTTGCCAAGTAAGTTAAACAAATTATAAATTTAGGGTGTTAAAAAAACATGTTTGAAATAGTAAAAAAAAAAAATAGTTTACACATAATGGAAAAATCATAGAATGATTTTCAACCTTAATGAAAACTGAAGTGAGAAGTCTAGTTTGCCCAAAAGAGGGTATCACATTATTGTATTATATATTACAAGTTTATGCAAAACAGTTATCTCATTTAAACGCACAACTATTATTTTTCTGACACAACTCGTTATAGTCATCATAAATTTAATTTGTGAATTTTGATGTTAGTATTATGTCGACAAAAATGTATAATCATTCAGGTAAAAAAATGTTGTCAGTCATAACTGAAATCTAGATTTTACATTTTTTTTTTTACTCTAAAATACAAACAAAAAAGTACTATAGAAACCATTCATTCCCAGGCCAGTTCTTATTAACAGTAAACGATAAAACATTAACCGTGTTCCAAAGTATGACCCGTTACTGTTGAGAAGTAGTTGTGGAATATTTAACTATTTCATTTCATTACATTACACAGAAAGAAATGGAAAAATAATTTGCAATACCTCTTTTTTTTCGAACAATTAATTACAATAAAAATTGTGCAAAGTCGTAGAAATGTTAAAAAATCAATAGGAATTCAATTTTGTATATATATATATAAAATAAAAATAAAACGCAGTTTTTAATAATCTCTTATTTTTTGAAAAGAGTAAAATAATTTTCATATAATTATGTAACAAAACAAAAAAGTAACGTCCACTTAAATAAAGTAGGTAGTTAAATGACACATTATAACAATATTATTATAACATAAAACATATTCAACAATAAACAAATCGACTTATTAAAATATTGTAACATAATATAACATTCAATGTGTGAAAACAAAATAGTGTACTTATACTAACAATAAAATACTTTTGACATTTTTTTTTTTCTTTAACGTGTTTAAATAGAATACATGTAACTATAAAATAAAATAAAAATCAACAACTTTCAAAAAAACCATTCGCCAATATTTGATTTGACCTTTCCGATTGGACCGAAGCAAATAAATGATCATTAATTAATACTTATATTTTTCACACGTTAAACGCTTGTTGTTTTTTATCGTTAACATTTTTTAATATAGTTATTTGTATAAATAAAATTATTCATATCAACGTCATTTTGTACAATTGCAATTTGTATATTCTGTATTACTTATACGTGAACAATTCTATAACATATGTATATTTTTTTTTTTACTCATAATTTTATAGCAACATTTTATACATGGGTTCACCTTTCAAACACAATACTCATCGAACAATCAAAGTACGTAGTATACCATTTTATTCAAACTTCAAAAGCTATTATAAAATACTTACCTGTACTGCTTGTACTCTTTTATTATACACCGAAAGATCCTACTAATATACCATATTGTTTTAACGTAAGTATATTCTGAGTCAAATAATATTTTTTAAATAAAAAAAAAGTAGTAAGCGAGAATTTAATTTGTAAGCGCTTTTGGTATAAAATCAATTTTTTCTAGTTAAACTAAAATATATATACACATATGTAAAGAACTGAACTTTTGATTGTTCTAGCATATAAGTTTGATAACATTTTTTTTTTTTTTTTTACTTTTTACTTATTTACATACATCAAATGAAAAATCTCAAAAAAATTAAAAACCTTTGGGTACCTTAAAGAATTTCAATAATTATACCTATAATTACATCAATGTTGAAAAGCTTCTTTTGGAATGTTTGCTTTGAGTTTTGAAAAATTTAAAGCGGCGTTAGTGTAATTCCAGTTGTTTTCAGCCAAACACCTGCAAATACAAATATTTTGTTATTTATCGTTAACCGAAACACCACCTCCTTGTAAAAAATAAGCAGAGCTTGCGGGTAACGAGGGCGGACAACCTTCGGTTCCCGATACCATTGTCGCCAAGTTTGACGGCTTATACATACACGGATTGACAAATTAAAAAATTCATATGATGTATTAAAATTTCCTCCAATTTTTTATTTTATTAGGCAATTAATTATTATTAATTGTTATGGCGATGGGTTGGTGACAATTAGATAAGTGGTTTATTTTACGACCGTTAGGCTGATAAGACAACAAGAGTTGTGTCCTTTCAAGTGCGGTGGGTACCCCGTTGCCTTCCATTTCCAGACGGTTGTTCGCCCATAGAAACGGTCGAGTACGATTAAGTAAAAGTGCTGTCTTTTAAACCCAATCACTCAAACTGTGCCTGTCCCCCGTCCCGTTATACACACAATGTGGTTATTACAAACATTTGTACTACAACTTAAGTGGAAAATTAATAAAAACAAATCCACTCACTTTTCGGCCCACGTCACGTTCATGCCAGATTCATTAGAAAAAAGCTTGACGATTGTCAGTCGTGTAGCTCTGTTGTCGACTGGAGGCATCACGTTGTTATTAAACAACTGTGTTGATCGAGTTACAGTCTCTAGTACTTTCGAATCAAACGGTCCTTGTGCTGCACAATTTTGTTCCGATGTATTTGTTGTTGTTTGGTGACCAGATTGAAATGTTAGGGGCATCTGATAATGAAGTTGATTCGAGTAACACTTGGTTTGCTGGTACGACGGAGGAGAATAATTTGGTCGAACTGAACCCATACATCCCATATCGTTGCCGTCGTCCATAAACATTGACTCGCTACAGTTGTTATTGTTGCCATTATAATCCATATGAGGTCGTTTCTTAGATGTTGTTTCGCGTGGTTGTGGTACGTAGAAGCGTTTGGCAGTTTCCTAAAAAATAAAGCAAACAATTACATAACAGTGGACTACCTCGTAAACAATTTACTTACGGCAACCATTTCGAAGTCTGTGCCTGTTATAAATAGCATGTCGCTCAGTATACTCCAGCCGTTACCGACGGGTGTTATCGCAAATATTCTACTAAACGACCGCAACAACAACTTGTCGTTATTAACATATCCTTCCGCAAACACACCGTTTACTACTATTTGAACCATTGTTGTCTGTTAACAAAAATTATGGGTATTTTTTTAGTAGCTATACCATTCAATATGAAACTCCCTCCACCGTCAGATATTCCCAGACGTAAGCCGAACTCGAAAAACACAAAATTACATATATCTTATATATATATTATATACTTGGTAACATTCAGCGTTCGCACAGTTTTTCCGATTGACCTCACAGCCCAATAACCTATCCATGTTAAAAAAAATAATTTAAAAACTTACGTTAGCCAATGGCACATCGACTGTGAACGATCCCAAGTCGTGTTTAGATTTAGGTAGTTTTTCTAAGAAGTTAAATATGTTTTCTCTTCCTCTGTAAGACTTTTTGTTTAAATTTATCTTGGGGAACGCAAGCAAATTGCGACTCCTTTGCAAGTATTGCGTTAGATTTCCTTTATGCCTAAAACATAGTAATATGATTGAGAACAAATTCGCAAATTGTACAATTAACATTAAGAACAGTTTGTAAGCACCTATCCAAAATAATGCACGACGACATTGAAAACGTAGCATTATGATGATAAGCTTCGGCGACCAGTTGTTTCGATATTGGATTATCGTATCGTTCGTAATACTGTGCTAGAAAGGAATCCACCAGGACTGCAATTGAATTAGGTTGTTCGGGATTTTGATCCACTAGAACCGCATAACTGTTTCCTTTGATGAATGGCATTTTCAATTTAATACCAACAATGGCGGCACTGTACCGCGATGGCAATTCATAGTCATCCTATAAAAAAAAAACGTACAGCATTGCCCTAAATCCTTGTCTGGGAACTCATTATCACATATTATGATTGTGAAATTTGACAGAAAATTATACTGTTTGTATTAAGTGATGGTTATAAACAAAATTTCCAATTAATTGAAATAAAATTGTTTTTTTCTTTTAATACAGTCTCGTTAATCCGAACACGGGCTAATCAGGAAGACGCAGTAATCCAAACGGGCTCCAGCGTAAGTCTTTACAATTACATTTTAGCCATGTTTGCTCCAGAACAACGTGGACATCGGGTGACTGCGATGAACCAATACAGCAAGAAACTTTACCCGATGAAGAAATCGTACATGCTATTACTTAGGTAGAGATCATTCAATGGGCAGAATAAAACGATCGAAACTGTGAAGAAATTATGTTGCTGAAACGTTAGCGAGCGAGATCAAGAAGCTTTGGAAACTAGTGTTCAGAAAAAAATTACCGAATATTTTAAATAGTATAATAATAATTAATATGCCATACGTAATTTAATAAAACAATAAAAATAATTGTATCTATGCGTATGGTAAATGGACATTTTAATAAATAAAAAAATTATTTTTTAATAGAAATGGCTTTCAAACAAATTCTGATTGGATTAACGAGGCCCAACTGTACATCATTTATAGTCACAAACTAAATTAAATTTCAAGTTTAAATATTTTACTTAAAATAAATACTTAATCGGTATTTTAACGTAAGATTATTAAATATTAAATAAATATTCATCCAAACTCAAGTCAGATGTAAAATACAATATCTCAATTCCATTATAATTAACTGCAAACCGGTAACACATTAAAGGTAACTCCTTATCATATTGTTTTTTCCACAAAACTTTCATTGCTAATTCACAGTATACTGGCAAGACGTATTTACTTACATTTCGTTAATAAGAAAAAATAACCACATTAAGTACAACAGGACTATTGTTGTTGTTGTTCCTATTGGTCGGTTAAAGAATAACAATTGCAAAAATAATATTAAAAAGATAAAACTCACCAGTTTGTTAAGCAAAGGAAATAGGTCTTGAACATCTCTAAAACAGTAAAAACAAAAACAAATTACCAGCCACCTAGAGTGATATTATATAAAACGACAAACATTAAACTACCACTATGTGTATGCTAATAAATAATATTATTTACCGCCTGTAGCGTTCTGCATCAACCATGTCAGACAATGGATTTCTTGATAGGTTAAGTTCTTCAATAGTGAAACCGGAGAGTTCTTGTAACTCATTTATGTCTTTCAACTAAAATCCAAAACGTATTAAATGTTTAATATCGGTAAAACAAAAATGACTACAACAAAAAAATTCAACTTCATTATATTATAAATTGAAAAAAAAATTATATATCTATACGTCATTCATGCTACCGTTATACAAATAACAAATGCGGTGACTCCTATTTGGTAGCTTCCTTCTACCTGTCGTTTTTATTTACCTTATTTCCGGCCAAATTCAATACTTTCAAATCTGGGAATAGTCGACGAATCCATGCAAGTCCTTTGCCTAAGTATATAAGGTTATTTTCTAGACTCAGACCATACAAATCATATTTTTCTTGTTGAGCTACCAAATTTAGCGCTGCTAATAGAAATGTTGGTTGATTCAGCGGAGCATACATTTGATTATCTATGAAGACTAAAATATAATATATTTCAACGTGTTAAAGCTTTCATAGATTGAAATATCATGTGGATAATTTTTGATAGCCACTGATCCAAAGACGGACTTTGCAATGAGCCTGAACATCAGCAAGAAACTGAAGACATGAGATGGATACATCCAGAAATTATCCACATAATAATAACGAAAAATTGTCATGATAAATTATTAATAATTATAGTCGTTTGTGTCAATATCATCATACAATATCATATTGAACGTTAAAACTAATTGGCAAAAACCTTACTTTGACTAGAATGAAAATGTGATAAATCTAAACTCTTTGTGTCTGGCTTGTATCGGGTCGATATAACTTCAATCATTTTGGCCTTTATTTCTTCAGGAACTGGTACCGTAATAACTGAATAATGTGAAGGAACATAAACTGTAGTTTTAATAATCAACTGGAAATGAACAAACGCCACAATTATCATAACTTTTTCAATTAAATCTATATTTTACAGTTTAAATTTTCATTTACTTTTCGACCATCACTCAACGATAATTTATAACTGGTGTTCAATAATGTTTCGGCAACTTTGTAATCGTCGACCAAAAACCGTAAGCCATTATCAACAAAAGATTTCTGAAAAAAAAAAAAACATGGCATACAAGTAAATATTAATTTTATCATGATAAAAAAAAACCTAAATGTACTTTTTTTTTTTATTAACATACGTTATACGGGAAAAATGTAATAGGTGCAATGTATGTTTGAATAATTTTCAAAACTTCATCTCCGTCATAAACATTTGGAACCTGAAAAATTGTTTAAAAGAGTTTTAATCAAACAGCAGACTGCCGTCACAACAAGCTTAGTGTATCCAAACTACTCACAAAAATGCTATACCACCCCGTGACACTCATTTTCAAAGTCCAAGAAGATCTAAAATTATTGTAACCTCCTCCTCGGCTGCAAACATTTCTTCTACCAGATAACAATCTACTTTGAATAAATAAAAAAAACTGTTTAATTTAAACCGTAAGAACAAAATGTTGTTGCTTGACATTTCATAATTACCGTCGACTACCACCATTTCTAGATGCTCCGCTGTTTCTGTTAAACAATTCATTATCCAACTGATCACAAACTAAATCTGATTTGGTATTCCAACTTTTCCAAAATCGTTGGTTTCCACGGTTATTTGCTTTGAATGAAACTTTTTGATTATAATTCTGACCGTCGGAGTATCCTCCACTTTGAAATGCACCAGACCTATCGCCAAGCTCATTATGTCCTGTAATTGCGTGAAAATAATAAAAATTGAATAAAGAATGTGTGTTATTTACTATTTTCAATAGTAATACAAATAAATTTGTACACCAGTATTATTCTAAAAAAAAACTTTAAAGTTTAACATTAAGTTGCTTGTAAATTAAACAAATGGATTTACATGCAGGTTGTTAAAACGACTTTATGGTATCCAAAAATATATTTTTTAATAACAATAACATACTTTGACTAATAACAAATTGTTTTAACTTTGTTTAGTTGGAAAGATTACACAGCTACAAAACTTTTTAATGATGTATTTAAATATTAGGAGTGTAAATGCTAATTTAAATAAATTTTTATTATTTTTGCAAAATGATTCTTATTGTAATTTAGACATTATTGTGTTAACTGAAACCTAGCACGATTCAAATAATTGTAATTGCAACATACCCGAATATAATATGTTTTGCTCGGCTTTGAAAAGAAACCAGAATGATAGTATTGTTGGTTTTGCAAAACAGCACTTAGATATTGATTTGAAAAAACAAGATTCATCGTTAAAAATAAAAAACATACTAAAAACTTATGTTTATTAAATTATTTTAAAAAATATAGAAATAAGAAAAGTTTCAATGTGTTAATAAATGAATTAACTAGTAATTCTACTACGAGAAAGAAAAAATAAAGAGTTTAGTAAGTAATGGGGAAAAAATTGATGTACTTAAAGATCCGATCAAAGCATCTAACGAGTTAATTTTTTTTTTTTTTCGGTTGGGTAAAACTTGTTAAATAATATAGGATATAGTAGTAGTTTTTATTTTTCTGAGGAGTTTCTCAATCAACATCTAACTTTAATTCATGTTTTTCCACAAAAATCAACCCATCAGAGATTTTAAATATAATAAACATTTTTAAAGATGTTACAATAATGTAGCATGTGGTTATGACTAAAAACAAATATTAAAACTTCAAAAAATAAAGCACAGTATATTAGTAGTCCTTCAGCACATGTTTTTAACACAAGTCTACAAAGTGGTGTTTTCTCTGAAAATTTTTAATTGGCTAGCATTAAACCGCTGTTGATGGTGGTGATAATGAAATGTTAAGTGGTTATTCAAAATGTTTTGAAAAAATCATAAAAACTCAATAAAAAGTCATTGAATTTTTATCGAATGCACTTGATGATGTAGAGCAAGCTTTAGCGATATTATTAAATTTGACAAAAGCTTTTGATACTGTAAACCATTGTCTATTATTAAAAGTATTAAAAAGTTTTAGATTGAGTGGTATAAGCCTAAGCTGGTTTCAAAGTTATTTAAATAAAAGAAGGTAAGCTTCTAATATAAATGGTGTTATAGGTCAATTTAATGAGGTTAGTTATGGTGTACCACAAGGAAGTGTATTAGGACCTATATTATTTATTATGTACATAAAAGTGTGTAATTTGAATGTTCACGGACAAATAATTTTGTGTAACTCATTTAACTCATTACCGTCCGATTTAAAAAAATATATAATTAATGGAAATGTAAATGTAAAGCACTCTATAAATAACTTATTACTTAAGGATTACTTAGGTTAACATAATGATTTGTTTTTTTGTCATTCAAATATGTTATATCTGGTGTTCCGTTTTCTTTATCAGAAATTTTTAAATTGAAGTTTTTGTTTTAGTTTACATGTTCTTTTAAAAAGTAACGCCCAACCCCGTCTGAAGCTCAGCTTAAAGGGGTAGGTAATTTTTTATTAGTAATTTTGATACATTGAATTTTTTTTTAAAATAATTTGTATTGATCTAATTATAAAAAAAATAAGAAAATTAAAGAAAAAGAAAAACTTTACCGACGAAAACATTTTTGGGAATATTGTTGCAGACACGATTTTAGCGTGATCTATTGCCACTTAACGGGAAACATGCAAAATGTGAGCGATGACAATGTGGCTCAAGTGTGGACAAGGCTTTACACGAATAATATTTATCATACAAATTCCAATAGGTGTTAGTTCAATTAATTACTCCATTAAAATTAATCAATCTACAGCTATTGTAGTGGACATACGTTATCGTTAATGGAATCTAACTTGAACGAAACAACAACGGCTCAACACGGTGATCGTCTAAACAGATATTTTGACTTTTGTTTTTTCAACAATACCTATTGCAAAAAGTACTTTTATCACGATACGGATCAAATTATATTTTGTGCACTATTATTCCGTTAACCCTTGGTGTCATTAGAAATGAAATTAGCGAAATTTAACCGATACATTATTATACATTTTCGAACGTTTGTTTACTCACGTGAATTGCCGTTTCTGTAGCGATTTCTGTATTTGCGTTCTCGAAAACGGTCGGCCATTATATTAGGTAAACGAAACGAAATGTCCACAAAACGTTTAAACCATCGAATTAGTGTGTAATAAGGTATAAACGGTAAACAATCGCCAACACTCACATGTCACAAGTAAAGCAGAGTACACACACACACACCATAACACATTACAATAATATGAATTTATATATGATAATAATATTATAGCTAAATATGCGTAAACTACAAAGCAGAGGCCGGCAGCTGCTACTGTGCTAGGGGTAATCCGCAATAGGTATATTATAACAATATTATATACATACATTAATACACACACACACACACACAATACTTGGACGGCCGTTGGACCAGTGTTAACATGATAACTGATAAGTATTGACTGCATTGTCCCCGCACCCCGCCCCTCCCTTGTTGATACCAGTGTTGTCCGTATCGAAAAACATGGAAACGGCATTATTTTATAATAATATATTTTAGTTTAATTAAATAGTTTACCCCGCCGATTACAAACTCGAATAACCGTATTTTAAATAAAACATTTTTACATAGAAAAAATGCATAGTTATAATTTGTTTCACTAAGTAGTCTTCTATCAATTTTTTAGCACTTTAAATACAAGTGACACTGGTGTCCAATGTTTATTTAACATTTTGTTGTTAACGTTTATGTTTCAACTTTATATTCTATTCTATTTTATTTTATTTGTTGTCGTCGTTTGATAATTAAATTACTACCAGTGATTAGGGTGACTCGGGACGAACTTTTGGTTTATTTCACGTATAAAGTGTAAAATAATCACTTACTAATATTTTTCCTAATATACTTAGCTCCAGCCTAAAATAAATTCTAGATCTGCTGTTGTTTCAGATATCTTTTAAACGTATTTTATAAATTAGTCATTCTTGTTTTGTGAACATTTTCTACTAAACTTATGGTAAAATAAAATAAAAACTTATTATAAATTTAAAAAAGTACACATTTTTTTAAACATTTTTACAATTAATAAAATATATGTATGATTTTTTTTTAAGCGTTTCGACTTTCAAACCATCAAGGCTATTTGCTTCAAAACCAATTTATGCTAATCCTATCTATCATAAACTATAATTTAAAATTCTATTTCATCTCGATTGTGTCTTTCCTAACTATAAACTTGGTCTAGCCATCTCTGCTTTGATATTTGTATACTAACTTATATTGAAACTTTTTATGAAATTAATATCATAATAATAATAATGTAACTCAGAGAGTAACTACAGTTGACACAGTAAACGGCAATCGTACAAGCAATACTAATAACATATTAATACAAACTGTAGTATGATCATATTACCATATGGATATGATTGCAACATTGCCTATACAAAACTCCTTGAGACTTTTATTATTAACATTTTTATCATCGGTTTAGTAAGGAGAACAGTGAAATAGTATAATTATATAATAACGAATTCAATTTTTTTTTTGGGGGTTTATTGAAGTATATTTATTCAAAAATTTTAAAAAATTGTTCTTATTTTATTTTAAAAAACTGAATGCATTTTTGAAAACCTAAAATGTGAAACTTTAAACGCGTTTTTTAAAAACTACCTATGTTTTCAAAGACAGACCACTTTATTTTAAAAGCCACTCGGCGGGTTTAAATGAAATTCATACAGTATAATATTCTTGGCATGAAAAACTAGTGCTTAATCAAAGGATTGTTTTTTTGGTCAATATTTTTATTTTTTATAAACAATAAATAAGCGCTATTTTTCTTAAAATCCAAACACAAACTTTCAGAGGCCGCCATTTAACTTAATTTAAGGAGGAAAGAAGTTTCGAGATAAGCTCGCTAGCTAAAGTATTAGACTAATCATTTTTTAACCAACGATGGAGGTAGGTATAGACTATAGGTAACGCGGTAAAAGAAAAAAAAATACAGCTGGAAAACCTGCAAAATGGCTGCCACAATGGCTAACCGTACAGCGGACATACCCTCTGTGGCTACAATTGACCATTGTGGTTACCGCGATTCGCGACCACTTTTCAGTTTGCGGTCACCTCCAACAGCTACAGCCGCGGTGATCATCAGCTGATATCATTTGTATTGAATATTAACGTTGATAACGATAAATTAAATTATTTATCGTTTTTTTTCGAATAAAATTAAAAATGTTTGATTTCTCACTTGTTAGCGTTTAAGGTTTTGTCATTTTTAGTCACCATTTTCGTTCAGTAGTAGGTAACTATATTCAATTGCTTATATGTTGTATACAATATCATACACTTGGGCCTTGTCGTCACGACACAATACGCACACAATTTGGACTTACCCTGACCCCTGTGACTTGAGACACACAATGTTATTGAAGGTATTCATTGACCGGCGACTCCCAATTCTTACCAAGTATCAACTATGCCACAGCCACAGCGGACATAACCCACACTTGGATTATACCTAACTAACGAGTAACTTGATTATCAATCGAAATAGGGACCATATTAATTTTAACCAAATTGGATCAGTGAATACATTCATATCTGGGTGTTGAGTTTTGAGAATCAGAGTTGTCCTTGTGGCTGTATTCAGGCTGGAAATGTAAAAGCAAATGTAACGATTGTAGATAATTATACACAAAAAAAACTATATAAACCCGAAGACACCACACGTATAATCAACGTACATCTTTTGTAGATTTATTGTGTACGTATACACGTTTACGATATACTAAAAATATTCAAATAATAATCGTTTATAGTAGGAGAATATTACGTTGATGAGTTACGTTTATATTTACACTTAAAATATCCGTAGAAAATACATATATTTTCAGTAGATATTATATACCGTCTACATACAAGCTAGGTAAATTTATGGTGACCCGACATCCTTTTTTAATTTGATTATTAATTTATATTTTATTGCTATCACCATCGTTGAGAGTAAAGGCGGTATCATATCACAGAGAAACGGTTCAAACGGTAAATGTAGTTTTAAATTTATGAATCTCAAAAATATAGATTTTGACTTTTAATTTTAACATAATAAAAGTAATATTGTAAAATTAAAAATACAATTAAAATTTCATATTCCTCATGAAGGAAACATGTTATTTTTTTAAGATTTAAATGTTATGTTATTATATTATAAAATTGCAAATGTTATTAAAGTTCAATTTGTAGGAAACGAAACTTTATTAATATATATTAATTTGTGTTTATAGTTTAATTTTTACACTAAGTAGTTTTACCACAGAATAAATGAAATTTATCATTAAAAATGAATTTAAATATTTATACTTTTCAATAATCATACATTAGAAATTATAATGTTTCTCTTATGTTCAATGTATTAAATATCAAAGTATTTTCATCATAAAGACGCCTTGTAAGTTGACATTATAATGAGCTTATAATTTCACATAATTCGTTTTTATAGTTGATAATAAAAATAGAAACAATAGAGTAATCAGAAAGAAAAAACAATTTATATAGATGGTTTGTAGATGGCCTATGGGCAAAATGGGTAGAATAGTATACACTTATGTTATATAGGCATATAGTGATATTATCGGCATACATTAATATTTTTAATCGTTGTTATTTGAAATTAATACTTAGTGTCTTTTAAAATACTCGTTTGATAAAAATAAATAAATACATTTGTATTGATCAAGTAGGGAAACAGAAAAAACGCTTAAAATAAAAATGTCTTATTTCTAAATTTGTTATCTCTATTAATTTTTTAGAACAAATTGTTATGCTACAAACGAATATTTAACAGTTTTAATTTTTTTTTCAAACATATTTTATATATAATACAACTATTGTTATACTGTATACTGGTCATGATAAATTTTTTCAATCATGTTTGATTCAATTATTGCCATGGTTACATTTTTCAGTAATGACTAATTTATTCATACTTAAAAGTCAAAATATGATGTACTCACGATTAATTTTTTATTTGTTATTGTATGATAAAGTCAATCATGATTAAAAAGTTAATTTTTAACTTAAATAAAAAATGCCTATCTCGGAATGTATATATATAAAATATATTAATATATAATATTATATAAAACAGTTTTTTGTAAATCTTTTTGTTAAATTTTCCATGACGAATTATGTTTTTTTGTTCTCTTAGAAATAAAGGGAAAAATTTGTCATTGAAATTACAGGAAATGACCAGTGGAAAATTGATGGTTATCACAAAATTAACTATACTTAAACTTGTCTTTTTTCATTACTTTAGTTTCAAAAAAAATCGTTGTACATTTTTGGTGATTTCCTTATAGCAACAACAACCAATTGTCACAATAAAAATTATAAATTAGCATGAACACCAAATATAAATAGTAAGCTGATATAATAATGTAATACAGTGTAGCTCGATTGTTATAGGTTGCCTCTCATATAATATACCTATTATTTTTTTTAAACTATTTACTATTTACATAACTTAAAGTAATAATTAAGACAATAAGACACATCATTACCATACAAAATTTAAACCCAATCAATAAATATAATTAAAAAAAAAAATTAACATTGTATTCATATGTAATAATACTAAAATTTAAATACATTTTGATATAATAAGAATGAAAATAGTAACTGTTCATACAGACATTCACAATATTAATTGCCACATATTAGTAGGCAACTGGCAATTTGACTATAAATTAGGTATATGACCTTATATGACTATTCCAAAAACAAAGTAAAAAATATATAAAAAAGTCCGAGTGATTAAATAATCTGAGTTGAGCAAAATCTTTAAGCACAATGTCTAAGGTCTTTTATTTGCATGCAAGCGAACGCTTGCATGTTTCGCAAGTTTTCCTTTTTTAGAAGGTCTTTTTGTACAATACACATTTGAATGGCTTCTCACCAGTGTGCACGCATTTATGTAGTTTAAGGTTACTTTAATGGGAAAAAGTATTTTTGAAACATCACGTTTATAAGGCTATTCGCCGGTGTGTATACGTTTGTGAGCTATAAGATGACGTTTAATAGAAAAACTATTTTAACAAACATCACATTTGTAGGGCTTTTCACCGGTGTGCAGACGTTTGTGTTGTGTAAGATTAGAGGTTTGAGAAAAAGTCTTTTTGCAAACATCACATTGGTAGGGCTTTTCACCAGTGTGTGCGCGTTCATGTTGTGTAAGGTGAGCTTTTCGAGAAAAAGTATTTTTGCAAACATCACATTTGTAGGACTTTTCAATGGTGTGTTTGCGTTCATGTTTTGAAAATTGAGCGTTTTGAGAAATTTTTTTTTTGCCCGTATTACATTTGAATGGCTTCTCTCCAATGTACACGCGTTCATGTAGTGTATGATTGCAAAATTTTGATTTAGATTTTCGAGGAATGGTTTTGTTTGTTGAACTTTGGTGGACTTCTGTTATATGTAATGTTATTTGCTTTTTAGTAAAGTACGAAATTTGACACAAATGACAATGAAACGATCGCCGTTTTTTTGATTTCATACCGATTTTCTTCGAAACCATTTTATTGCTAAAAATTAAAAATTGTTATAAAATAGACCATGTTTAAGTAGAATTTCGTCAACCCAGGTAAAATAGAACATTTTAGGTGTTAAATATTTAATTCTCTGTAAAATAAATTTAAACATTTACCTAAACAAAATCAGTTGTGAAATTAACTTCCACGAAAAAATTAAAAAACTTAAAAAATATATTTTATGAAGTCAAGTGGCATGTTCCATTTCACCCTGGTTGGCGCTTGTGAAGCAAATATACCATACCATAGTGTATTTCTAACGACATGTTTTTTAGTAGGTTTCTGGATTCTGTGCGATTTATTAATATGATGGGCCACATTTCTTTTAGAAGTAAACAATTCTTGGCAAAGGTCGCAAATAAATGTCCGAATTTTATCCAAATCGTAGTTCGATATTTGAGTATCCAAAAAGTCTTTTTTTTCAACTTCTATCACAGACTCGAAATAATTTCATTCCACTATATCTGCTTCTATTTTCACAATCGTTCCTCTTATACTAAAAACAAAAGTAGTATATTGTTTTTATGATAATGACACATTGACACGGTACTATTAAAGTGTAGATTAAATCAGAGAGGACACGAGGTAATAAAACATGTTCGCATGGAGGCTACCATGTTATTTATCGTAAAATTATATCAATACAAAACATATGTATAAAAGAAATAACTACTGTCCACTATATTGATTAACTAACTAATGAGATTGTGGACATCACGTTTTTTTCATATAGGCATAAAAACAGTGTTAAACTTTGAGAGTCCGGTCCCTGGTACTATCACCTATTTATTGCACCCATACATTTTTTGAACTGTAGTAATAACCATGAGGACTTGGACGAATTTTGGTCTTTCTGTTATTTTGCAAATGACAATGACAAAACTTTATCAACTTCTCATCGAACTTAAAAACCTACAATGATTTATTATTATATCACATATAAAGACACGAAAAAAAAAATAGAATTTAAAAAATTAAGGCCTTAGCCCGGTATGAAACTTAGCTTTTTGGTATTTGTTTTAAGACTTCATAAAAAATTCATTAAATTTTACTGAACATTAATATTACATTTTCTAGTGAAAATCCTCAGCTTAAGTTATATATAATTTTTGTTTGCTTCTCATTGCATTTGTAATGCTTAAAAATCTTAGTATCATAAAAATATTGGGTTTTTTTTTATCAATATATAAAATTTACTATCTCCATACATATAAATACAATATGTTAAATTGTTATTTACTAGTACTAGACGTGACGGATCGATTAATAGGGTAGTTTCACCTAACCTTAAAAAACATGTATTGAACGTTTAAATGGGAACTCGAGTATTTCATTGAAACAGATAAAAAGAAATGTTATGCAGTTATTACGATAAAACATAAAATTGTAAATAAAACACAAATGAAGAATTATTACTTATTATTAGTTTAATCTCATCCATACATGAATTATTTTTTTCAATACTTTTTTTTTTATCCTAATGTGTGACATTGTTATTTGTAAAATAAAATAAAAACCAAAATTTATCTAGTTCTCTCCAGTTAAAATAAAAAATTAAACTTAAGAGAAAAAAAGGTAATACAGTGGGGTCAGGGCATAGTGGGGATGGAGAGGTCACAGGTCTACAAGAATTATTACAACTGAAAGTGATAAAATCACTTTTAAATTAAAGAATGATATTACTTATAAGTATTGCCGTCAAATGTTTCTTGAATTCCGTTCTCTGTTGTTGAGGAAACGTTATACGATTCTCTGACCTGGTGGTAATAATCTCCCGGTTTGTTAACACTGAAAAACCAAACATATTTAAAAATGCATATTATTAACTTAAAACTGTGTTCATTTATATTAATAGGTTTTCCGTTTAAAATAAACATAAAAGTGTGATAGTCAATTTACTAGACGTTATTATGTTGAAATTTGCATTTTTTGTTTCAATGTTTAAGTTTTCAAAAATAGTTTCATACTATTTAATACTATTAAATAATGACTAAACCTTAAAAGTGTTGTATTTAAAATTAGAAAATGTTTGTAGAAAAACAATGTGTATTGCTTTAATACTTACGTTGTACATTAAAAAAACAATCGCATTATTAAAGCAGCTATAGAACACCTAATAATATTTGCAATTACCCTTTTAATTTTTAATGTTAGTTCTCAACTTAAATTCTTATAAACAAAATGTATTTTTATAATAAAATATATAATAAGTAAATTGTTTGATAGGCAGTATTAATTAGGTATAGCACTACAGGAAAAAAGTAAAAAAAACCAACCGCTTTTTCAAAAGAAGCTACGGAATACCGTAAATTAGCTTTATCACATTATTATTTCTTAATTTTTAGAAAAAAAAATGTATTTCTTATATTTAAAATTACACATTACTTGTATGTATTGCTGTCAATTATCGTTGAGATTCAGTCTGAGTATTTACATCAATTTCTGCCTTTTCATTGAAAGTCAATTTTGTTTGTTCTTCATCGGCTTTGGTACGGTTCATTTTAAGCTGTTCATATACTTCTTCTACTTTGACCATGGTTTTGTTGCAATAGTCTGTTACGATAGATATTAGTTCTGGACTCGCTTCACACTTCATAAACTATAATTTTCCAATTTTAGAACTGTAAATAAACAGACATTAAACATACAATTTAATTTACAATATTAAAAAGTATAAAAAAGCAAAAACACGTTGAATACGAGAGATTGTAATTAAATTATTATAATGCGGATCTGGAACAACAATAACTAAATATTGACATAATGTCAAATGAAACCAAAAATAACAAGGTACAATGAATAATTAGAATTTACACAAATAATAATATATGTCATTTGATTAGCAATCTTGTCCCACTATTTAAATGTCACAACTCATATTTTACAAGTTGAACAATATGACATTTTTTATAGATTACATTTTGTTCATTAAAAGCTAGTGAACTACACATTTTCATTTTAGCTGTTAATGTTTCGGCCGTGATGGAATCCCGATTTAAAAAATACAAAATTAAGCAAAAGAAATTGACTTGATTGGTAAAAATGTATAAAGACAAATCCATATTAAAGCTCAAAATTAACAAAATAATGACTAATTGGTCCCATACCGTGTTTCGTTACAAAGAAATTTGTCCCTATGACTGTGACAGTAGTAGTTGTCTTATGCTACAAGCCTATATTAATTTACGTGTATTAATAATTTTAACTGTTCAGATTAATCCATAAACTGCATATTACTTAAGAGTTTAATTATATAGTGAAAAACGATAAAATCAATAGCCCCCTTAAGACGCAAGTGATTTCGGACGCTCCTGGACAGGATGCACCTGGAGCGCGTTCTTTAAAGCGTTCTAGGCGTGTGACACTCCATAACCGTGTGTCTTATAACACACACGCCAATCGTGAGACCTTTACCTTTCCTGTTTCACATTTGTTCCAAGCGCGTCCGTGTAATGGTCAAAACTCTGCGTATTTGCACGCGATTGAAATGGCACTTGGCGTGTGTGTATTTCACTCAGTTTTAGTGCGACTTGTAATGATCAAAGTGCGCCGTTGTAAAGTTCGTTAGTACTTTGAAGTTTGATAAAAACTTTTTTAACTATGTTTGAATAAAAAAAAAAAATTTGTCATTGCGTCTATGGGTATATTATGTTTAAAATCATTAAATAAAAAAAAAACGCTCAAACCTGGAAATTAAATAGGGACAAATCCAGTGATATCATATTATTACATGAACTCCGCCAAAATGATCCAATTTTAAAAATTATCTCCGAATGGACGGTGAAGATTTTGACTACTTGTTGAAAATAGTGGGCCCTATTATACAAAAACGGGACACTGTAATGCGAGTCTATAGTGAAAGATGTAAGCACTTACTGCAGGCGTGTGTCGTCTAAAGGTTCGATAAAGTTTTAGAATACGCGATATTATAAATACGTACAGGTTTTATCACGTTCAAAGTCGGCTCACACATGTTTCTTTAAACGCATAGTTTTATCGCGCGTCCAGTCCAAGAGCGTCCGAAATCACTTACGTCTAAAGGGGGCTAATGATGATAATATTACTCGGTACTTACACAGCAATAAAGAGGCCTGGCTGGTCAGGGTTTAGCTAACAAGACACTTGACAACAACTTACGGCTACAAAAACACACGTTTAGTTTGATATTTTTTATTTTATTTTATTGTAAACACACATTTAATATTTATTATTTAAATTTTCAATTAAACAGGTACATCTCGAGCAAGACTTTAGTAGACTTCTGTTACAGACAAAGGCAGCAGGACGCTACAGCAACGAGAAATTTGATAATGTACAATAACAGAGATAACAGTGGCGGTAGAGTTGGTCGGCTGGAGGTAGAACGCAGTGTAGGCAAATATTCAAACTCGAGTGATTTGTACAACACACAGTGAAAAGCATAGACCCATAAGAGATGCTATCGTATGATGTATTGTTTTAAATACATAGGTATAGTACAGTAGGTGTAGCACAGTAGTATAGTATTTACTTAAATTCATTAAATTTTATCAATGAATATACTGTTTTACTTTTTATGAAACGTGTAAGTATGTTTTAAAAAACATTTTTTGTTTACAAACTCAAGAGGCTATTTACTGTTGGTAAATTATCATTATAGTATAACATTGACTATTGTCATTCGTTCCTCTTTCAAGCTACACCTAATATGTATTAAATATAAAAAAAATCACAGTGTATAATGATAGTACAAATACTAATAGTCTCAATTATGGATAACTAATTAGGGTTAGTGCATTAAACAAATATAATAATTGTATTGCCATTATAAGCTTTAACCAGAATAGTTAATAGCCGTTTGGCCTTTACAGAGTCATAAGTATTTGTTGTAATAAATTCTTATAATTTTTTTTATGTATACAAAAATAGCAGATGTCCATTTGAAAGATATTTATTTTGAGTTGGCTTCCCTCAATTTTTAAAATTTGTATTGTTTTATTTTACAAAAAGGTTTGATGCGAGCAACGGTTATATAAAAATTAGACCTTTATGAAAGTAGAAACAGAAATTAACAGTCTAAAACACAATTTAAGAATTAAATCAAAACTGACTGCAATGAAATAAACTTTTATTATTCCTACGACTACCTTGAACAAATCTCTTTAAACATGATTATTGATCATAATACAATATTTTTAAGTATGAAATGTTTCTTTTTAAATTTTGTTATCTTGACACTGACTTGAATAACTAATATATAGATTTTCGAGTATAACTTGTATGATAAACAATCATTAATGTCTGGAAATAAAAACTAAGTCAGGCTAAAATTTGTAAACATAATTTATAGAAGAATCATCTATTTTGATACTTAATTTTTTTCTTCAACTACCATAACGCTTACAGGCTTTATTTTTATACAAAAACTTAAAAAATTCATAACATTTACACGGTATTGATCGAGTGATAATTTTTTAATTATTTTCGGTTAACTAGTAATTTCTATATGAAAAATTGTAATACTTGAGTTTTCTTATGATTTCTGCAATAACATTAATAACGAAATTAAAAATGTACTATTACAAAACATTTCTTTGTTTTGAGCTGAATTTGTTTTCGAAATGAAACAATAATTGAATTTGATTGATTTCTAAATCTTTACACTTTCCTTCAGGGGTTTAACCGATTTGGTTTCAACTTAAACATTCGAAGGGCTAAAAAAACATTTTTTACATAATTAGTCATCACTCATCAATCGCCTTTTGTAAGTAATATATAACATATATATATATAAAACCTAATATTAACTGTACCTACTGTATTCTAAAAAACACCCTTTAATAGTTTATATTCGAAATCTAACTTATAACTCCCATTACTGGTTAATGACCTTTGTAATCTTGGTCTTATTAGTTAAATAAATGAAAAGAAAACGAATATTATTAATATAAAGTTATTGTATTTTAAAAACTGAAATTTACTATATAGGGTCAAGTGGGGTAAATGTAAACGAACGGGGCAAATGTAATTGCATTTTTTTTTTTTAGAAAAAACAAACATTGTTTGTATTTTATTCCATATTTTTTATGGTATACTAACATCTTATAGCTACAGATGTTAAAATACGAACACTGTTCTTTCTAAAAAAAAAAATGCGTTTACATTTGCCCCGTTCGTTTACATTTACCGCACTTGACCCTAACTTGGTTGATTAAAAAAAAATTAAACGAAAATGGTAATTATTATTCTTCTTGCAGAAATCGTACCTTAAAGTATGTAGTTTATTGACCCAAATATAAAAAATAAAATATAATACATATCTTTCAACTTAAATTTATGGCTTAAGTTAATGAAATATGGATGCGTTGACGTGTAATGTTTATTTTTGTTAATATAATTGTAACAAATATTTAATTTGAATAATATTCAGTGTTTTTTATTTATTATTTAAAAACCATCTCCCTGAATTGAACTCATCGTCGAAGAAGTACAAAACAAATTTCTTAAAAAACTTGGGTTAAGAATCCAGACTTATAAAAAACGTTTTCTTTATCTCTCTTGTTTGGACAAAGTTTTAGGACCTATAGTTTAAAAATTAAATGATAGTGGGTCTAGTTTAAATTGTATTGTTTCAGCTCTATGAGACTAATGCGCGACGGTTGGAATTGTTATTATACTAGTTAAAATTTTGCAAACGCCTATTTACGATATTGACATTTATACTATATCGTGTGTTTTTATACTGAAGTTGTAAGAAAAAAAAACTAGTCGGTTATTTTTTCGTTTACTTAAGTGTTATTTTTCGCGAAATATCATATTTTTTTAAACAATGCAATCAATTAACACAGTGTAACGTTTATAAACGAATATTTTAGATATGTCTTTTTCATATTCATTGTTAAACGGGATACTCTAAAGGCTAAGAGTTTGTCGTTTCTTCACGTTAAATTTTTAACATCTATACACTTTTAAATACTACCTACTTTAAAATGTTTTACATCGTTATAATGTTATTAACGTGTATGTCAATTGTGGACTGTGTTAAAACATCTGTTTATGAGAGAATGTGTGACAGAGATAAAGTAAGTTCAAATTTTCCTGATACCTTTTTTTTTGAGACTATATTACTAAAACCATGACCAAATAGATAGGCATTATCGGTAGGTTATGGACTTTTCTTATCCTCGCGCATTTGTACACTTCATGACAAATGTCATAATGAGAAATCTAAAAATTTGCACGATAGTATTTTTTCCCCCCAAGTCAGGAGAAGAATTATCCATAAAAACGATTATTGCCGTGTGACCAAAGCGTTTAATTTATCAATTTTTTGTACAACCCGCCATTAGACTTTGCTAGATTATCATTGTGTAACGATAGAAAAAGAAAATGGGTAGTAGGATAGGGTTTAAAATAATATGTCTAAGATGGTGCAATTAAAATATCCTAATTCCTTTCGTCTAATTATATTGTGCTTGTTTAAATGTCCACGTACCTTGTAGTTGTCTGGTCCAGCGACGATTTCTTGGAGTAGCAGCTTTGTAGTTTAATTTATCACTTGGATGGTTTTAAAAGAGACACCTATATCTACTCAGAATCAGTCGTCCTTTTTAGACACTGAATGTAATAATAAAATGTATACACCTTAATTTGAGATTAAACTCAGTACACATGCATGTGTGGTTTACCTTGATTGAATAATCACTTATGTATTAATATTGTAGTTAACGGATATTTAGTTAACGAAGTTATTTTGGTACGTCACTTTGTACCCTTCTGATTGGCTGTCTCGCAGTATAAATATATATATATACAGGGTGATCCAACTAACGTAAGACAATCATTTTCTCTGAAAATATAAATATTTTGAAAACAATTTTTTTCCTAAACTTTTAGGTAGATTTTACTACATTTTTTAATATTTTGAAAATTTTTATCACCAATCCTTATAAGCCAAAATGGGGGATTTTTGTTTTTTTTTAATGGCAAAATATGTTTTTAATTACATAAGTTTGTAGACAAAAAATTAAAAATTATGTTAGCGTTTGAGTTTTGAATTTTCATTTATTTGTTCATTTGTTATGACTTTATAAAGATTTGATTTTTTTTAGTGTATTTCTTAATATTTTCAATCGTTACTACAAAGACGAGTAGTTTTATTACATTGCATACAAATAATTTGACATGTTACCGTACTCTGTACCATAATCAGATAAAATAAATAACCTATAATCTAAGTAATCTGTAGATAAGAACCTTTGTCTATGTCAAAATCTTTTTTAGTGAATTCCTAGTTGTTAGAATGTTATCGCCAATTGGACAATGCGAACATAAATATGAATTTGATGTGCTACCGGTTTTGGACAAACCGAAGAAACATGATTATTATTAAGAGGAAATGTAGTATCTTAACAAAGTCATAACTAATGAACAGTTTAATAAAAATAAAAAAATTTAACGCTAACACATTTTTAAATTTTTTGTCTACAAATTTATGTAATTAAAAACATATGTTGTCATTTAAAAAAACCAAAAATCCCTTTTTTTGGCTTATAAGGATTGGCGATAAAATGTTTTAAAATATTAAAAAATGTAGTAAAATATGTACCTAAGAGTTTAGGGAAAAAAATGTTTTCAAAATATTTATATTTTCAGGGAAAATGAGTGTCTTACGTTAGTTGGATCACCCTGTATATATGTTTTGTTTTATTTTATAAAATTTGCATAATACATGGCTTATAATATGGTGCAGGTATTGTTGTGTGCGTATAATCTTATGGAATATTTCATATCAATGTATTATGTTACATTTAATAATTATGTGCAGACAATCTTATTATCTTATATATAATAACTGTGTGCAAATACATACTGTGTACATATTAATATATGATATTTTAGGTATTAATTGCATATATATTGATATTATTACAATTGTTTAAAGTAAAAAAAAATTTTTTTTTTTTAGGCTATAGTAGATGCTTTTAATAAAGCTCTTGTATATTTTAAAAAAACTGACGTTCAAACAATTACGCTGAATCAATTTTTAAGAATTGTTGGTAACGACGACGACACTAAACGAATTATTTTAAATCACTTTAAAAACTATGATGTACACGGGCTTGCGGGTAAGCATTACATTTAATCGAATCGAAATTTCAATAGTGGGCCGTTATTAGTGTTAGTTTTTTATAACCCATAAAGGTCATTGTCGCTTGCTAATGTTGACTTAGCTTCGATGCGGATCTAAGAAGATTTTTTACCCACGATTTCTATTAAACAGCTGAACCGGTTTCTTTGTATACAGTATAGCAACTCTATAGATCAGAAATCGTACCTGTGAGGTACTTTATTCGGTCAAACATTTTAAAAAGTTCATCCCATCCCTTAGCCCAGTCAAATTAGATAACAAACCGTCAAAGTTTGGAAAACATTTACCGAAAGCTGAATTTTAGTATACATTTAGATTGTACCATACCAATGAGCATACTACAAGTCCTGACGCCCACCCCTTGTGCGTAGCCCCCACCCCTCAAATGGTGTGTTTTTGACCTTCCCACCGTATTCGCTTGTAACTCAATAACCGTTCATTTTACAACTAAACTGTATAGAACTTAAATTAAAGACCGTTAAATTTACTGTAGAAACAATTAATTTTTAATACTTATCTTTTCAGTAGATAAACAGAATAAGCAATAAGCAGAATATTTTGAAGAAAAAAAAAATATTAAAATTTTGTTTTTTGTTTTTTTAGCTAAAACTCTAAGTTGTACATTAAAGTCACATATTATAGAAATTATAGACCAAATAATTTGACATAGGATACCCTATTTATTTTTAATACATGCATTACGTCAATTCTACCATTGTTTATATGTATACCGCGGCCTTAATAATGTACTATTTTTAATATAACCTAGGATTGACATGTAAAAAAAATATAATAAAACAGACTTTTAAAAAAATCGCCGAAAGCTAAATTGAGTACACAATTCATTTTTACTTTACCAATGAACACACTAAAAGTCCTGCAAGTGATGAAAATCTCTTTGGTGTGAAGCATCTGTAGACGGCACAGACATAAAATACCGATACAATTAATTGTAATGACAAACGTGTGCTGAAAAATGTTATTTTTTGTAAAAAATGGATACGGTTAAAGTATCAGACCATCATATAACTATAGTTCACTGTGGGGTGAAGCAATATCATACATAAGAAGTAGCGCAAAAAAATTGTTATGAAAAATGTTATAGATCATTATGGAAGTAAACACTAATAATGCGTGTAGTCTAAGTAGTATTTTTTTTTTTTTTTATAATTTTGGCCCGTATTTTAAATATGTTAAAATAATACAAGACACTATAGTATTCGTATAATGAAATACGTTTTGTTTCAGACGAACTAAACGATTACATGTTTTTCGATTTAGTATATGCAGTTGCTCACGGTCGTGGAGTTTCTCCTGATTCTTTGCCTTCAGAAATGAATAGAAATATGATTAAAAAAAAGAAAAAAAACCCAAAACATGCAGTATGTTTAAAATGTGAAGAAACTCAAGATGAAGTTGAACTATCGGTTGAATCTTCTAGTAACTTAGCCAACTAAATAGTTATAGTAACTATTATTGTAATTGAAACACATTAATATATTGAATATAATAATTGTTCTTATAATGTAAAGTGGCATGCATTATGTGTATTTTTTTTCCAGGGACAGTCTTTTCCTTACCTTAAGAACGAAAACGATATACCATTATCAAAAACGTAATAATACTGATTGTGTACTTAAATGAATTAAACGGATTTGAGCCTAAAAGTGCAGTTGGAAAAAAGTAGAAATTAAACAATAAATAGATTAGCCAAATTTGTCAGGAGGTAGGACTCAATTATGTAATAACATAGTGGGCATGGAAAAAATCGGGAAAACAGTTTTTTTCTTTGTATTGGCTAAAAATAATGTACGATTGATTTTAACAACAATATTTTATCGTCGTACACGATTAATAATTTGTTAAGCAACGGAAATAAACAATAATCATTATTTTAACAATTTTTCTCTCAATAATAATTTCTCTCATTTCTTTAGAATTTTTTTTTTTTTAATTATTGTTTACTGCGACTTTTTAAATGGACAACAGTGATCGAAAGGGATTACATTTACTTTGGTGTCAGACATTTTCAGAAAAAATATATGTCGACTTAATTGTAAGTACGTTTAAAAAATTATTATTATTTGTACGGTATTCACTGAGTACATAGCAGAGAAACTCCTCATTACACCTTTACACCAACAAAAAAGCAAAGATTGAATTATATATTTTGTATAGGAATTTAAGATGAGGAATAACGATTAGTGTCAATCTCTTCGTGATCAACCCTATAGAACACTCCCACGCGCAATAAAGGTATTGCTAATATGACTAAACGTCCCAGTTTTTGTAGGTTCAAGTATGATTTTGAATGGAATAAAAATCCAAACCAGACATTATTGTACAACCTCACCACGTTACCGAAATAGAGTACAGACATCTTAAAAAAGTCTATAATAATTTATTAATTTACCATTAATTGTCTAACAACGATACAACCTATTTGTTTATTAATGATTGACAACAATGCGGCGTGTTTTTGTTTAAAACAATATTATTTTAATTATTCGCGAGTTTAAACTAAGCGTTTGACTAAAAGATGTCCTTGGAGAAAAACGTGGTCGATAATTGCATAGTTCCTGATGACCCTAAGAATACTGAAGGTAGGAATGAATTACATAGATATACTAATACTACCCAAAATCGCATGGTATAGAAAGATTTAAAAAACTAAAGAGAATGGAAACCGGTCTGTTTTTCGGACAGATTGTATTCAGTTTTAAGTAAATAAAACAGTTATTCAAAAATCGACTTCCACAATAATCTGGAAATAGGCCGATAGAACCAAAATATATGTAATATGCTTTACAGAATTAAATTCGATCACTCTGTGAGCATGATTTTATCAGGCTTTTAGGTTAAAATTGGTTTTTTGTTCAATCAAAATAGCTTCAACTCTTAGGAAAAATTGTATACGTAAAAAATATAGTAGCCTAAAGCTTATACAAAAATCCTAAAAAAAATTGATACGGTAGAAATTTATTAAAATCGCTTTTCTTAATAAATATTGCCTATAGAAAACTCCTTAAAAACTACCCACTTTCAATATCTCTTAACAGCCTTAACACTTTTAAATTTAATATAGAATCTTATAATATCCCATGTTGTAATCAGACATCGTCTAAATCTTTAGTACAAAGTTTAAACAGCAGTGGGGATTATTGGAAAGGTGACCATCGGCCTCCCTTAGATTGAGATTTTTATAAGTGATTAATTAAAATATAAACTATATTCAATAAAAAAAAACTGTTTTACTTACAATCAAATTTCATAAATCATTTTTATATCTGATAAATAAACAAATAATATACACGAATAGCTGTTTATTTATGTAATAATATATTTTATGTATTTTTAAACCTTCTAATGTAACATAAATGGTTTGATTTGTAATTTATATAGTAACGATAATATATTTTAATTGATTTTTAAGTGGCTTAAAATGCTTTTTTTGTGAAAATGTGGATTTTCGGATTTTCATCACTATAGTTGATATATAATTATTTGGTCGATAATATATTTTAATTGATTTTGTATTTTTTCGATTAATAATATATATAGTGATTTTGTTAGTTTTGGTAACCCAATTATAAATATTGCGTTTAATAACTATTGATAACTTGCTTAGCAACGGACAAAAACCAAATCGCCAAGGCGATAAATAAACTATAATCATTACTTTAACGTCGACCCAAACGATTATTTTTTCTTAATAAAGTTTACTGATTTCTTTAGAAGTTTTATTTTATTTTGCTTATACAGTGATTTTTCAAATGAATAAAAGCGACGGATTATATTTAAATTTTCACAAACGGCTGCTGTCGAAAAAAATCCATTTGTCGACCAATACTTGTTGAATGTATGTTTATGGTTTATATTATTATTATTATTTTTATTATCATTTATATAGTATTTATTTAGTACCAAACAGGATAATTCAAACATAAGTTTTATACGGCTATCTAATATTCTTTACCGGTTATTATCAAAGTTTCATCAAATACACTTTAATTACTTTAAAATATGTTTGAAGTGAAAATGAGAAATCGAAAATCCTGATTATTTCAGGCACTTAAAAAATCTTAAAATTATTTAATAACATTACAGTATAAAACTGTAAGTAAAATGTTCTGGTGATTGGTAAAAATTATAAAAAAAACCGCATAACTTTGACTATTAATTGATATCGGATTCTTAATTTCGTTTCAACAAAGCCGAAATCCAAAAAGCAATTTATCTTTTTAGTGTTGTGTTTTATTTTTACAATTTTATCGATTATATTTAACTTAAGTACACATCTATATATATATTGTAATATTTAATACTTGTATGATTTGTAAGTGGCTTAAAAAGCTTTTATTTTTGTGAAAATATAGATTTTCGGATTTCCATCACTATGGTTGATATATTAATAATTGGTCGTTATACACGGACTATAATAATGTGCTTAGCGACGGACAAAAGCAAAATCGCCATGTCGATAAACAAACAATAATCATTATCTACGATTTTTACTTTTGCATCAACTCGAGCAATTTTCTTCCTGATGGAACTCAATTATTTCTTTAGCAATTTGTTTCTTATTGTTTGTTTTTTGTGGCTTCTTAAATATAATAGTGATTGAAACTCGAAAGAATTACCGATTGTGTTTTCTGAGATGGAGAATTTTTGAAAACGGTGTGGCGACTGTTGGAAAAGCATTTGTCGACCAATCCAATACAGGTATGATTATATTAATGTTATTTAAACAGTATTTATTATTTAGTATAAATTAGAAAAATATTCAAGCAGCATACAACCTTCTTATATTCTTTTAATATTATTCCATAGTTTCAACAGTAATCTTACAAAAATTAAAAACTTTTCGTAATGTTTTATATATTTTTAAAATTACATTAAATCAAGAACGATTAGCTAAATAACGATTTTTGACGGGTATAAACCCAACACGGCGACAAATTGCAATAGACAGAGACGATCCTAATCTTAACGATCTAATTTTATAAATACTATTTTAAGCACATTATTATGTAAATAAAATACACTTATACGCAGTGAAGTATTAATAATAATTCACCCAAGTATAAAACAGATTTTTCAATAATATTGTAAAAATGTTTTAAATATACTTTGCTCATAAACGGTTTACTGTATTAAAAATAAATGATACCAATTTTTCGATACCAAATAGTTTGATCTGATGATAAAATATATAGAATTCCATATTATATTGTGGGTAGTCTTAGTACAGATTTTCGGATAATTTTTTTTCTGGTATGTTTATTTGAATACCTCCAGCCTATAAGCTAAAGCGTTTCATAGCATGTGTATGAGAAGTTTTCATTTTTTTTTTTAATTATCGAGTTGACTTCTAAATACATTTTTCTCCGACATTAACAGTATCCAAAGTTTGTCGATAATTTAATAAAACAATTTCCTTCTAATTACCTGTTTTATAACGTTGCCAAGTTTGTTCGTCATACATGATTAGTAAGTCGCTTAGTAACGGACAAATCAATTTTTGGTATTGGATCATTTAAAACTACTTGAACTTCTTCGTTAGTCGGTGCGTTTTCCGATGTCTCAATTCTATTGGAAATATAGGGTACTTGGCTGTTTTCCTTGGCTGGTGGTATTCGTCTTCTGTATCACTCAACGAGCTTGATTTATCGCAACTTGCCATCACTTAGATATTAAGACATCAGAATAGGTAAAGTTTGTAAATTACAAAGAATGAAGTTATAAAAAGAATATTTTTAAACAAAAGGTATATTTTATAAAAAAAGATACACAATTTTATACACAAGGTTAAATTTATAAAATAGTTAAACAACAACATATAGTTTTGGAATTCACATTGTATTATTCTATTGTTCACAAGTTGTAGGTACAGCAATATAGGATTGTTTAATTGCACGAACTATTTTATAATGACTTACCCATCGAATTTCTATTGCTTCGGGTATTTTTAATATTGGATCATTTAAAACTACTTGAACTTTATGAAGCAGTTGTTCTCGTTTAGGAGACTGATGAAACAGCTTATAAATTCTTTAAAACATGAAACACACGTTTAATTTTGGCAAATTTGTTGCGCATACTAGTCAGTTTTTTTAGAAACAAATCTACGAACTCCACTTTAATTTCCAGACATATTTGATGCCTCATTTAAACCATAAGCGATAATATTATAGTAGGACAAATTGGGCATAATTAGCACATTGCTTATTGCGCTTACGATTGTTTGAGCTTCGGTATCAGAAAACAAAAAACAATATAAAGAAATCTCTCAATTGGTTGATGATTTTTAACAAAACACACATAGATAATTCAGATTTATTCTTTATATTTGTACTTTCATTGGCCAGTAACTGGCACGACGTTGGCCGTCTTCGCTTTGTTGGACTTGGCTGCTCATCTTTAGAGTCTGAACGTGGTCTTTTCAGTCCTGATGATGAGCACGGCTGCGGGTCGTCCGAGTCTGTCACAATTGGGTGGTCTTCGTTGGTGACAGGCGGGCAAATCGCGCTAAAAGAAAATTGTTTACCGGAAATTTCTTTGTCTACCTTAGCATCTAAGATTTCTGAAGCACAACATAAAAGTTCACTTGCTGTAGCTTTACTGGTGTATGTTGAGCAATTGTTGATGTATTTTACGTATTATGTTGTGTACATTTTTAATAAATGATGTATAAATGCAAAATAAAACCGCACTAAAAGCTAGCAGCACATGGTCAGG